TGCTGCTGCTGCCGTGCTGCTGCCTGCTCCTGCTGCTGCTGCTGCTGCTGCTGCTGCTGACAGAAGTGTACCAAAAGCACCTCCCGGCACCAAACCAGCAAGGCACGGAAGGACGAACCGGCTACAGAATCGCACCGAAAAACTCTCTAACGTGACTTCTGGAATCCTACTAGAACTGAAGACCTGAGGGAACTGATGAAGGACTGATGAAGGATACTAGAAGGCTGCTGCTGCTGCTGGACTTGCTGCTGCCGATGCTCCTGCTGCTGCTGCTGGCACTGCTGCTGCTACTGCTGACAGAAGTGTACCAAAAGCACCTCCCGGCACCAAAACAGCAGGGCACGGAAGGACGAACAGGCCACAGAATCGCACCGAAAAACTCTCTAACGTGACTTCTGGAATCCTACTAGAACTGAAGACCTGAGGGAACTGATGAAGGAGACTAGAAGGCTGCTGCCGTTGCCGCTGCTACTGCTGCTGCTGCTGGACTTGCTACTGCCGCTGCTACTGCCACTGCCGCTGCTCTTACTGCTGCTGCTGCTGACAGAAGTGTACCAAAAGCACCTCCCGGCACCAAAACAGCAGGGCACGGAAGGACGAACAGGCTACAGAATCGCACCGAAAAACTCTCTAACGTGACTTCTGGAATCCTACTAGAACTGAAGACCTGAGGGAACTGATGAAGGATACTAGACGGCTGCTGCCGTTGCTGCTGCTGCTGCTGGTGCTGCCGCTGACAAAAGTGTACCAAAAGCACCTCCCGGCACCAAAACAGCAGGGCACGGAAAGACGAACAGGCCACAGAATCGCACCGAAAAACTCTCTAACGTGACTTCTGGAATCCTACTAGAACTGAAGACCTGAGGGAACTGATGGATACTAGGCTGCTGCCGTTACCGCTGCTGCTGCTGCTGGACTTGCTGCTGCCGTTGCTCCTGCTGCTACTGCCACTGCCGCTGCTCTTACTGCTGCTGCTGCTGACAGAAGTGTACCAAAAGCACCTCCCGGCACCAAAACAGCAGGGCACGGAAGGACGAACAGGCCACAGAATCGCACCGAAAAACTCTCTAACGTGACTTCTGGAATCCGACTAGAACTGAAGACCTGAGGGAACTGATGAAGGATACTAGACGGCTGCTGCCGTTGCTGCTGCTGCTGCTGGTGCTGCCGCTGACAGAAGTGTATCAAAAGCACCTCCCGGCACCAAAACAGCAAGGCACGGAAGGACGAACAGGCTACAGAATCGCACCGAAAAACTCTCTAACGTGACATCTGGAATCCTACTAGAACTGAAGACCTGAGGGAACTGATGGATACTAGGCTGCTGCCACCAAAAAGCACCTCCCGGCACCAAAACAGCAGGGCACGGAAGGACGAACAGGCTACAGAATCGCACCGAAAAACTCTCTAACGTGACTTCTGGAATCCTACTAGAACTGAAGACCTGAGGGAACTAACTGATGAAGGACACTAGAAAGCTGCTGCCGTTGCCACTGCCGCTGCTGCTGGACTTTCTGGAATCCGACTAGAACTGAAGACTTGAGGGAACTGATGAAGGAGACTAGAAGGCTGCTGCCGTTGCCGCTGCTGCTGTTGCTGCTGCTGGACTTGCTACTGCCGCTGCTACTGCCACTGCCGCTGCTCTTACTGCTGCTGCTGCTGACAGAAGTGTACCAAAAGCACCTCCCGGCACCAAAACAGCAGGGCACGGAAGGACGAACGGGCCACAGGATCGCACCAAAAAACTCTCTAACGTGACTTCTGGAATCCTACTAGAACTGAAGTGAAGACTTGAGGGAACTGATGAAGGATACTAGAAGGCTGCTGCCGTTGCCGCTGCTGCGGACTTGCTGCTGCCGCTGCTACTGCCATTGCCGCTGACTTCTGGAATCCTACTAGAACTGAAGACATGAGGGAACTGAAGCATACTAGAAGGCTGCTGCCGTTGCCGAGCTCGACTCATGGACACCACTCGAAACGCTGAAACGCCACCTAATTTCATGCCAAAAACGCTCCAAAAGGGACCGGGAAAAGTGCCTAACGTTGCTTCTAAAACCCTAGAAAAAAAGATCTTTTGCCTGCCCTCAAAGCCTAGAAAAAAAGATCTTTTGCCTGCCTTTGTGACAACTGTCTTGTCGCGTCCTGTCGCTTTGACGTCAGCTGCAACAGCTCGACTCATGGACACCACTCGAAACGCTGAAACGCCACCTAATTTCGTGCCCAAAACGCTCCAAAAGTGACCGGGAAAAGTACCTAATGTTGTTTCTGAAACCCTAGAAAAAATCACCTCCCGGGGGAAAACACCCTGCCTCTGAAGGACGAGCTAGGTCCAAAACCACGCCAAAAAACTGCCTAACGTGTCGTCTGAAATCCTAGAAAAACAACATTTTTCGACAGCTTCTGTTGCCTGCGGCTGCTTTTGCCTGCGCCTGCTGCAGCTAAACAGCTTCGAACAACTCACCTCCCGGGGGAAAACCCCATGCTTCTGAAGGACGAGCTAGTTCCAAAACCACGCCAAAAAACTGCCTAACGTGTCGTCTGAAATTCTAGAAAAACAACATTTTTCGACAGCTTCTGTTGCCTGCGGGTGCGGCAGTAAAACAGCTTCGAAAAAATCACCTCCTCCCGGGCGGAAAACACCATGCCTCTGAAGTTGTTGTTGTTGTTGTTGTTGTTGTTGTTGTTGTTGTTGTTGTTGTTGTTGGTGTTTGTTTTGTTGGTGTTGGTGTATGGACACCACTCGAAACGCTGAAACGCCACCTAATTTCGTGCCCAAAACGCTCCAAAAGTGACCGGGAAAAGTACCTAATGTTGTTTCTGAAACCCTACAAAAAATCACCTCCCGGGGGAAAACACCCTGCCTCTGAAGGACGAGCTAGGTCCAAAACCACGCCAAAAAACTGCCTAACGTGTCGTCTGAAATCCTAGAAAAACAACATTTTTCGACAGCTTCTGTTGCCTGCGGCTGCTTTTGCCTGCGCCTGCTGCAGCTAAACAGCTTCGAACAACTCACCTCCCGGGGGAAAACCCCATGCTTCTGAAGGACGAGCTAGTTCCAAAACCACGCCAAAAAACTGCCTAACGTGTCGTCTGAAATTCTAGAAAAACAACATTTTTCGACAGCTTCTGTTGCCTGCGGGTGCGGCAGTAAAACAGCTTCGAAAAAATCACCTCCTCCCGGGCGGAAAACACCATGCCTCTGAAGGTGTTGTTGTTGTTGTTGTTGTTGTTGTTGTTGTTGTTGTTGTTGTTGTTGTTGTTGTTGGTGTTGGTGTTGGTGTTGGTGTTGGTGTATGGACACCACTCGAAACGCTGAAACGCCAACTCACCTCCCGGGGGAAAACCCCATGCTTCTGAAGGACGAGCTAGTTCCAAAACCACGCCAAAAAACTGCCTAACGTGTCGTCTGAAATTCTAGAAAAACAACATTTTTCGACAGCTTCTGTTGCCTGCGGGTGCGGCAGTAAAACAGCTTCGAAAAAATCACCTCCTCCCGGGCGGAAAACACCATGCCTCTGAAGGTGTTGTTGTTGTTGTTGTTGTTCTTGTTGTTGTTGTTGTTGTTCTTGTTGTTGTTGTTGTTGTTGTTATTGTTGGTGTTGGTGTTGGTGTTGGTGTTGGTGTTGGTGTTGTTACAACCTCTCTGCCCTGACGCGCTCCCCCTTGCCGTCGGCCGGGGTCGGCGGATATATATTACTATATATCTTTATACAACTATGTGATATATGATTATAATTGATTATATATATACACATATTTATGCATACATACATATATATATATACACATACATATCTACACATAAACAAGTATCGCAATGTATGCATTATTCAGATATCGAAACAGCACGAGCATCACATGGTCACCTGGTCACATCGTTTGAGGCTCTGGACCCACAGCAGAGCCCATCGTGGAGATTGATGACTTCGGCGCCCCCAGCGCGGAGGAGTCATTGTTTCCCATGGGGTACCCCCCAAATTGATGGACGGTTTGTTTCATGGAAAATCCCATGAAAATGGATGATAACTGGGGGTACCCTCATTTTAGGAAACTTCCATTTGACCAGTTTCATCCAAGTTCTGATTGAACAGTTGAATTCGACCGCATAATTATTCTTGGCTGATTTGAGTGGAACATATAGTGGAACGAAGCAAGTTGATATAAAATGTACTCGATGCACTAGAAGAAACAGAATTCATGATTGTCAAGAATCAACTTCTTACACTGCAGGGTTTCCTCTGTGAATTGAACAGCCAAAGGCCATGAACACGATGTCAAAGCTTTGTATTTGGCTTGTCACACAAAAGCCTTGCAGCAGCCTGCAGCATATCTGGAGGATCAAGCGTCCATGGCAGCTGTGGGGCAATCTGCTTTGCAGATGGTAGACGCCGTTTTCGAGGAGTTGTGGTGCTATCTTTGGGTTTCAACTTGTCCTCTTTCACTGGCTGTGATTCATTTCGATTCATTGATGGATATACATTATCTCCAATATAATACATATGTGTATAACTTATTATTGTTGTTATCATTATATAGTCGCGGACGGGTAATAAGCAGATTTTCATCTGCTTATCACACCCCGAAAACCCTCAAAAACGCTCAAATAAGGATCTGCTAGAATGGGGTACCCTTAAATCAGACCTGTAATAAGCAGATTCCCATTATGTGGGAATTGGTGAAATCGGGAATCTGCTTATTACAGCTGCTTGCACAATTCAAACTCGAGTTCTATATAAACCCTTCTAGAGGTAACACGGAATATGGGAATGGTTTGCGCATTTTCGTCCTTATTGGGAATATCATCCAAACTTCAAATTTCTGGCTGCTTGGGAATTGTTTGTGCAAAGGGAGGACTCAATTGAGCTGTGCTCAAAACCTAGTCATCCCTTTCTACTACCGCCACGGTTTTGATCATTGCTCAATTGTTTCCAACACTGCGATGCTGTTCGTCCCCCGCAGTTGCTGGCTTGCAGGCGTCAGGGGTTGTGACGCTTTTTCAGGTTAGCTATGGCTGAAGTCCCGGAGTGTTTGCTGAAAGCCCAGCGATGGGCGAAGCATGTGCTGCAAAATGTGGGGATCGATAAGGCCACATTACTCTGGTCAGACTCACCCCTGGCCAGTAGCAGTATGTTTTCGGGATGTTGCTATCCTGAGCGGGCTTTAGAATATATCGATGCGGCTCGCCGAGAGATGGATCCCACACTCCCACCTCTCTCTGACACTTATCTTTTTTTGGAAGGTCTTTACTAGTTTGTCCGCCAATCATTGGTGGCAAAACAAGTTGAAATGGAGTCATAACATATGTAATATATAATAACCAATACCCCCCAAATCTATGTTTACAAGCATTGATTCATTTGATTTTGGGAAGCTGTAATAAGCAGATTGCACATCTGCTTATTACAGCTATGTCGAAGTTCAAGACCCAAAACACAAACCAAAGTGGTTTTCAAAGGGAAACTAGTGTACCCCAGGTCTTGGATTGATCCTTGCAATCCTAGGAGAACGTGTGGACGTGCGAGAAGAACGCAAAGGCTAGAGCCTCTCATTTCGACATGTTGGCCGAAGGTACTTGTCGCTTCACAGATGTAGAATCGTTCATCGATTCTGAGACCCTGAAAGAAATGAAGAAGATCAGTGTGAAGGGGAATGTTCAGAAATTCAAGAAATGGTTTCAGCTAGCAAAAAAGGGCAAGGTGGCCAAGAAGGCATTCTGCTCACGACACTTGAAGCAGTGCTTCCCTTAGTTGTGTTTGCCAAAGCAAGGTTGTACACTTCCACCCTGTCCTAGTATGTAGTAAGCAGATTCAGGAATCTGCTTATTACAGCTCATGCAAGATGATGTAGAATTCAAAATGCTAACACCATTGAAAAACTACTGAAAACTAATGAAAAACATGGCAAAAACAATGAAAAACAAATGAAAATTGATGAAAAACATTGCAAAAACAATGAAAAACCAATGAAAATTGATGAAAAACATTGCAAAAACAATGAAAAACCTTGCAAAAACAATGAAAAACCAATGAAAATTGATGAAAAACATTGCAAAAACAATGAAAAAATAATGAAAACTGATGAAAAACATGGCAAAAACAAATGAAAATTGATGAAAAACATTGCAAAAACAATGAAAAACCAATGAAAATTGATGAAAAACACTGCAAAAACAATGAAAAATAATGAAAAGGTTTGGCCCGAGGACTTCGACCCAACAACTGGCCCGAGGACTTGGACCCATCCACCCGGGGTACTACAACGGGGCACTACAACGGGGAAACACAACGGGGAAACAAAAGGGGAACAAACGGGAAACATGAAAAATGGAAAAATGAAAAAAAAAAATGTTTTTTTTTTCCATTTTTTTGATTTAGTTTATATTCAAAACATGTTTTAAAGCATTTTGATACACTATTGCATTTAAATCGAATGAAAAAAAAATCAGATTTTTTTTTGGAAATATTTTTTTTTATTTTTTCATTCGATTTAAATGCAATAGTGTATCAAAATGCTTTAAAACATGTTTTGAATATAAACTAAATCAAAAAAATGGAAAAAAAAATAATTTTTTTCTTTTCATTTTTCCATTTTTCATGTTTCCCGTTTGTTCCCCTTTTGTTTCCCCGTTGTGTTTCCCCGTTGTAGTGCCCCGTTGTAGTACCCCGGGTGGATGGGTCCAAGTCCTCGGGCCAGCATTTCCGCTAACGCGCGCGCGCGCAGCGGAAAAAAAAAATCCTTGGGTCAAAGTCCTCGGGCCAGCCGTTGTTGGGTCGAAGTCCTCGGGCCAAACCTTTTCATTATTTTTTCATTGTTTTTGCAGTGTTTTTCATCAATTTTCATTTGTTTTTCATTGTTTTTGCCATGTTTTTCATCAGTTTTCATTATTTTTTCATTGTTTTTGCAGTGTTTTTCATCAATTTTCATTGGTTTTTCATTGTTTTTGCAAGGTTTTTCATTGTTTTTGCAATGTTTTTCATCAATTTTCATTGGTTTTTCATTGTTTTTGCAATGTTTTTCATCAATTTTCATTTGTTTTTCATTGTTTTTGCCATGTTTTTCATCAGTTTTCATTATTTTTCCATTGTTTTTGCAATGTTTTTCATCAGTTTTCATTATTTTTTCATTGTTTTTGCCATGTTTTTCATCAATTTTCATTGGTTTTTCATTGTTTTTGCAATGTTTTTCATCAATTTTCATTGGTTTTTCATTGTTTTTGCAAGGTTTTTCATTGTTTTTGCAATGTTTTTCATCAATTTTCATTGGTTTTTCATTATTTTTGCAATGTTTTTCATCAATTTTCATTGGTTTTTCATTGTTTTTGCCATGTTTTTCATCAGTTTTCATTATTTTTTCATTGTTTTTGCAATGTTTTTCATCAATTTTCATTGGTTTTTCATTGTTTTTGCAATGTTTTTCATCAATTTTCATTGGTTTTTCATTGTTTTTGCAATGTGTTTCATCAAGTTTCATTGGTTTTTCATTGTTTTTGCAATGTTTTTCATCAGTTTTCATTATTTTTTCATTGTTTTTGCAATGTTTTTCATCAATTTTCATTGGTTTTCATTGTTTTTGCAATGTTTTTCATCAATGTTCATTGGTTTTTCATTGTTTTTGCAATGTTTTTCATCAATTTTCATTGGTTTTTCATTGTTTTTGCAATGTTGTTCATCAATTTTCATTTGTTTTTGCAATGTTTTTCATCAATTTTCATTTGTTTTTCATTGTTTTTGCCATGTGTTTCATCAGATTTCATTATTTTTCAATGTTTTTGCAATGTTTTTCATCAATTTTCATTGGGTTTTCAATGTTTTTGCAATGTATATATATACTTCATAAGTTTTCATTGTGTTTGCAATGTTTTTTATCAGTTTTCAGTGTTTTTTCGATGTGTGTATGATGTCTTTCATCAGTTTTCATTTTGTTGATGTTTTTTTGATGTTTTTCTTGCTTTTTCTTATGAACAAGTATGATTATCTGCAAGTTTCAAGTAGCGTCCTGAACTTAGACATCATCTTGCATGAGCTGTCATAAGCAGATTATTGAATCTGCTTATTGCATACCTGCTTATTGCATATACAAGGTACAAAGTGGAAGTGCACAATTTTCCTATGTTTTCATGGTTTGTAGCATGTGTTCTCAGAAGTGTCTATATGTTATGTGGTTTTCATCATGTCTTCAAGGATGTTTCCTAATCTATGTTTACATCATTCCATTTCCCAGGGTTTCACCCTATTTTGTGTTGATCTTCTTATGATTTGGCACTAAATTTCTTGGGTATCCCACGTTATATGCTTACCCAACCATGCAACATTTGTTGTTTGTATGGCCCTAGGTGCTGCATCCGGAAGAGGTTCCTAGATACCAGCGGGACCATATGCACTGCATACAGCACTTTGGGGTCATTAGAAAAGGAGGAATCCGTGAACGCCATTCTTTTGTGCATCTACATGGTGTGTTGTTTCAAGCAAGGTGTACCGATCGTGCTCCATGAGAACGTATTAGGTTTTGAAACAACGTCCATGAGAGACTTCGCAGAAGAGATGGGGTATGAGCATGTGGCGTTTTCCACCAAGCCGATGGACGTCGGTATGCATGTGGGAAGGCCTCGCAAGTACCTTGTTTTCTATATAATTTCAAACACGTATGGCCCTGTGTATCAGCCAACAGCTGCGTCCGCAGATATGTATGTATATATATATATTTATTTAAATATTTAGTACATACATACCGTATACTTTGATATGTGTAATTTTGAGTGTAACCACCAACAGTTCGGATATATATATATATATATATGTATATTATATACATATCACCCCTGGAAGTATGATGCGAGGCCCACTTGCTAGCTAGAAATGCGCCCCTAAGCAGGACTCCTAAAGGGTGTGGGCCCATTTGGTTCCAAGGCAGTGATAAGCAGATCCACCCAATCTGCTTATTACAGCTCAAAAGGGTTCCCATCGTGCCAAAAGAACAAATGCCGAACACAGTATATATATATACCTGTTTCCACAAAGCCCAGGTATGACCTGTTCTACAAAGCCTCATTGCTGGAAGCTGTGGGAGACATCAAGAAGGCCTATCAGGAGTTTGCGAAGAACATCAGGGCCAACCTCCCGGAGTGTCAGGCCGGGAAAGCCATATAAATATATATATATGTATAATATATTTATATACACATACACAATCATTTACACGTGTGTCTATGCACGGCTATGTTTGTAGACATACACATGCAAGTCTTGTATATATATATATCTTATCCATATATAGATATATACATATTATATTTGAAGATAACCATGCATGGGTTGAAGCGGAGGGAGGCCACCAAATGTGCAACCAAACACAACAAACATGGGTAAACTCAGGTGGACGACTTCTACTTCGAGACCGACGAGACGGCCCTCAGACTGGAAATGCAGCGATCCGGATCAGCTAAAGGACTGACTACTGCAGTGGGAGAAATTCAAATGTTATGGGCCAAGATTGTGAACAAACATGTTTGTTTTTATACACGCACATGGACGAATGTCTTGCTTTCACTGGTCTTCATGTGAGATTTCTTCACGCAGTATGAACTATGATTTTTCACTTGGACACAATTTACCGTTGACCGACAGTCAAGCCAAACAAATACATGACAATGAATAAGCTTTTGAAACTAGGGCTGCAACAAGCAGACATTCCATATCTGCTTATTACAGCTGCTTGCCATCAGTATGTGCTACAACTGGTCATTACTGAATTGGGTGATTGGAGCCTGTTTTGCTCAAGGAACCAGCGCTGTGTGTGTGTAGGAGAATTGCTTGTTAGAGATGGCTGCACAAAAGCCAACCTGCTTCTTATCCATCGCATCCCTCATGTTCGTTGCCTTTACCAGCGTTGTCAGTTTCACCATGAAATGCTTTGTTGTCCTGGCATTCTACATGATGTCAGAAGAAGACATCTCCTATGTTTGTGAGCGTGGTCTGGGTTTCTACGCAGCCGAACCAGATAATGATGACCGTAGCTCTGACTGGAGTGTTGTGAGTGGCCCCGGAACTCCTAGATCACCATCCCAGAACAACCTCACGGGCCCGGAGCAGTGTGACTTTGGGATCAACTGCCAACATCGACATCTAACTTTGCGAGGAACAAACCATTTTAAAGTTCAGGTGAAATGTAAAGCTTGCAAAACTCTGATTTCCGAGCATTTAACACCTGCCGGGATCAGAGCCCGAGCAGCCAAAAGGCAGCGGGGTAATGGTGGAGTTGAGGAAGAATGAGCTTCTAGACAAAGGCTCAACAAGTGTAGCACTAACTCCAAGCGTGTTTCTATCTAGTTGTTTTCGACTGGTGGCAATTCAGTGCAAAAGGGCGAAAAGCTTTCCGTTTCTTAGGTGTGCACATGTGCCCGTGTGTGTATCCCAAAATAAACGGTGACATTTGCAAACTGCAATAAGCAGATTTTGCAATCTGCTTATTACAGCCCAACAAATGGGGAGCTTAAGGATCTGGAAATGTTGTTTGAAAAAGCATGCAAATGCACACAATATGCATGCATGAATGTATTTATGAATGTATGTATGTGTGTATGTATCTATGTATGTATCTATATATGTATATATATCTATACAGACATAGAGAGAGAGAGAGAGCGAAGACATATCACCCTATATATGTTCCGGTGTTTGCTATATTGTATGTGTATATATGTATATTTACACGCCTACATGTTTCTATCAATTCTACAGTATGGCAGGAACCTACTCAGAATCATGTTTCTATTGCCAGGAGATCCTGCAACTTGCTCTTTGACCGACTGGCGACCCTTGCTCACGGACTTTGAGATGAAGAATTTCGATGGTTATATGAAGAGGTGGCCTGGTGTGTTTTTTCATGTGCAAGGGCATCAATGAACCTCTATATATATATACCCAATCACAAGCAATTCCCAATTGGGGTCTTTTGTTAGGGATAGCCCTATATTTTGTGAGTCACATAGAACGGTGTTGGTTTAGTTTTGAACATGTTTTCAACAGTCTATTTATATATATATATATATATATCCCTCTCTCTCTCTTTATCTGTCTCAGTTTTGGGCCAACCCCATTTGTTCTTCTTGGTGGGCTGCACCTGCCACAAAATTTGGGAGGCATGACAAGCTCGAAGGGGAGAAGAAACCTCCTCCCGTCTTTGCGGTGAGCCAGAACTTTGAGACCCACCCCACAGCTGTTGGAGGAAGTGATTTTTCGCTGCCGTGCATGACCAAGAGTGGCACCAGGCGACTTGGATATATATATATATAAATATATAATATATATTTATATGTATACATTCCCCTCCAATTTGGGAATGCAAAATTGTTCAGCTGGTTTTACCTGCAAAATTATAGTAATCTTCAATACCTGGAGGGTGATCACCTACCATCACCGCAAGCATTTGATATACCAATCATTGGTTGGTTTTCCCATTGTGTTGCTCACATTATACATATATATATATATATGTATGTATATATATATATATGTGAATATGATTGTATAAGTAAGTAAGCCCTCATTCAAAATCCTCAGAAATATTTCCCTCACCAAAAAAACCCTTCAAATTGCCTTCATCCTTATATACTTTGGTTCCAGAATGAAAGATATTTTGGGCAGGGTTCCCATGGTTCAACTTGACTGTGATAAGCAGATCCATTATCTGCTTATTACACATCCCTGGGGTCAGCGGGCGCGTGTGAGACAAGAGACGCGAACTCGCAACATGGACGTATCAATAAAAATTGGGTATAGCATCAAAATGTCAATTTCAAGAGGTAAAACGGTTTCTGCGGTGAACAAAACAGACCTGACTTGTTTTCGAAGGTATGTATATACATATGTCCATATGACCAGAATGTACAGCCTTGTACAGTCTAGACTCACAAGTCCTCTCTTTCAGCCATTCCAAAACATTGACTCAAAAAAAAAAAATATATGTGTGTGTCTAGAAATATCTATCTATCTGAATATTCCTTTGCTTTTTTTGTATGGTTCCGCTGGCTCAGGCGACTTGTCCATGGAGAGAAGCTCAGGTGGCTAACAAGTCGGGAAAAACTGGCAGCTTCTGGTTTGGCAATCTCTGAACTTCAGGCAAAGGAGGCTGGTATCAGGGCGCCCGTCCAGTGGAGTCTTGATATGGGGTGGCATGACAGAGTCGGAAATGGAAACCAGCTTCAAAACGTGGGGTTGGTGTTGCTTGCAGCCCTTGCAAATCTACGGATAAGAGACAAGGCTCCAGAAAATTTGCTCTTCATTGAACCTCCTTCTGAACCTGATGGTCTATCGGTGGTGGACGGGGTATACATTCTCAAGGTGGGTCACCTAGACATTCCAGTTGGGGGTGACAAAGTCTTCGCCTACAAAATCCACAAGCAGCTTCACGAGCCTTGAATCAAAAAGATTCCATCTGGAACCTTTTAAAGGACTAATGCCCATGCATATGTAGATATACACGAATAAAAAATATGTATACACATATATATATATATATATATAAGCAAGAATAAATATAATGTATCCGCATATCTGGGGCGTATTCGGGCTTGTTTTGAGACCCCTTTCCAGTTTCGAAGCTCGCACTGCGATCAGGCTGTGATAAGCAGAAACCCAAATCTGCTTCTTACAGCTCACTAGGATCCAAGGGCGTGTGATGACAGAAATCCACATTTGCGTAAAAATGCAACTTTCAAATTTTCCCTGCAAGAGAGATCATCCTCAATGAAACAAGGGCTCCTCATTGTATATATATATATATACAGTAATTATATACCATATTTGACTTTAAACTGCATAAATAAATAAAATGTATCCGCATATCTGGGGCGTATTCGGAGATTGTTTTGAGACCCCTTTCCAGTTTCGAAGCTCGCACTGCGATCAGGCTGTGATAAGCAGAAGCCCAAATCTGCTTCTTACAGCTCACTAGGATCCAAGGGCGTGTGATGGTAGAAATCCACATTTGTGTAAGAATGCAACTTTCAAATTTTCCCTGCAAGAGAGATCATCCTCAATGAAACAAGGGCTCCTCATTGTATATATATATACAGTAATTATATACCATATTTGACTTTAAACTGCATAAATAAATAAAATGTATCCGCATATCTGGGGCGTATTCGGGCTTGTTTTGAGACCCCTTTCCAGTTTCGAAGCTCGCACTGCGATCAGGCTGTGATAAGCAGAAACCCAAATCTGCTTCTTACAGCTCACTAGGATCCAAGGGCGTGTGATGACAGAAATCCACATTTGCGTAAAAATGCAACTTTCAAATTTTCCCTGCAAGAGAGATCATCCTCAATGAAACAAGGGCTCCTCATTATATATATATATATATACATACACAGTAATTATATACCATATTTGACTTTAAACTGCATAAATAAATAAAATGTATCCGCATATCTGGGGCGTATTCGGAGATTGTTTTGAGACCCCTTTCCAGTTTCGAAGCTCGCACTGCGATCAGGCTGTGATAAGCAGAAACCCAAATCTGCTTCTTACAGCTCACTAGGATCCAAGGGCGTGTGATGACAGAAATCCACATTTGCGTAAAAATGCAACTTTCACATTGTTCCTGCAAGAGACGACCTATAGGAAACAAGGGCTCCTCATTATTTACTGCAATTATAATTATACCATTTGACTTTAGTTTGGGTTCAGTCACATATATATATAAATACACATGTATATCATCTTGGTTTCAACCGCCGTCCTCCTCTGGAGGAAACGTTTAATCGAGTTGATACCTGCCAAGGAAGCGAGACTGGAGCAATCCGCGCTTACAGTTCAGCAATTGAGAGAGAAGCTCGGAGAGTGGGGGGGCAGCGGAAAAAAGTTCAACCAGGCAAAGACAAAAGAAGACAAGCAAGTGGTTGTGTTGGAGGCCTACTACATGAAATTCTTGCACGCCGAGCCTGAAAAACAAGCCTCAAACGAAAAGACGCCTACTCCAAAAGCAGCAGTCACCACCTCCAAGCAGTCGCAAAAAGAAGAGGTTCCCAAAAGTGTTCAGATAGAAACTGCAAAGAACTTCAAAGCTGATGTGTCCTCAAGCATTCTTTCCGAAGAACCACCACCACTTGGAAAGATTTTGGTGCTTGAGAAAGGATGGCTTGACAAAATTTTGGAGGGAGAAAAAACACTGGAGCTGAGAAAAACCCTCATTGATGAAAAGGAACACATGTACCTTGCTGCCAAGGATTGCATCTATGCAAAGTGCATGGTCTCGGACCCGATCGAAATTTGCAACAGTGATGAATTTGAATCATTGATGGAAGCTCACCAGTGTACAAACCCACCTTACTCCTTCCCCATGGTAGGCCACAGAATCAGCAAGGTTCAGAAATTGACACCCTTGAGATTCAACAAACTTCGTGGGGCAGTTGGGAGGGCCCTTTACAGACCGTTGTCGAAGGGTGAGGAAGGTGGAAAAGAGGATGCCCCGGTTGGTGAGAACGAGGGGGATGTCCCGGTTGGTGAGGAGGATGTTCCGGTTGTTGAAGAGGGTCCCGGCAGTGCAAAGACAGCAAAACCAAAAGCCAATGGAGCAAAAAAAACCGGGCCGTGTGCAAAGAAAAAAGCAGAACAGCCAAAAAAAGACAAAAAAAAGGGACCCAAAACCGCAAAGGCTACTGAGGCACTGAAGCTTTCGCAACCTGACTTGCTTCAGGGTCAATCAGTGAAGCTTGTGGATCACAAGGAGCGAGTGCTGCTTCTGCCTGCAAATTGGGGGATTCAGTACATACATGAGTCCATACGGTATACATAAATACATACAAGCATGCATGCATGCATACATACATACTTACATTACATTACTTGACAGGACATGACATTACATTATATACATTACATAGACATTACATACAGACACACACTTATATATATGATTTCATAGTTTTGCTTTATTTGTTTAAAAGAAAAAATAAGACTGTAATAAGCAGATCCCCAAATCTGCTTATTACAGCATTGCATGCACCGCAGAGTTATCACAATATATGTATATATGTATAATACGAAAACGCACGCTTCAGGAGCATCTGAAGCCATCAGAAGCAAGATTGCAGAAGAGGTTGGAGTGGATCAAGAGGAAGGACAAGCGCGCTGAGGTTGTGATTTCGGGAGGGGCTCTGGCACACATGAACAATGTTGCACTCAAAAGATCACCAGAATCTTGGATTTGCTTAAGAAACACCCAAAAAGAGAGAGAGAGAGAGAGAAAGAAAGAGAGAGAGAGAGATATATATATATAAATATAATATATTCCCTGTAGATTACCTAAGTAAAATAGGTTGTTTTTAGGTACTTTTTGAAGGGGTTGGGTTTTTAAGGTCCTTTTTGAAGCTACTTCTTGAAATTCCAAGGAAATGACATTCTTCTTCCTCTTGGGCTCTGTGGACTCGGAAGGGGTTGTTCACATCAAGGGATGTTGGTGCCCGGATTGGGAGGCCCAAAAAAACATCTACTCCTTGAGTTGGAAAGATAGTTCATTGGAGGAACTACGCAGCGAGAAATCCGATGAGGTTGTGGGGTGCAACATTGTGAAACCTGGTGGGGTTGCAGAGCTACACCAACTGGATTTTGAAATGGCTTGCAAACATCAAAAGGAATGCATTCCAAAATTTGTCACCATTGTTACAGGGTCTGATCGAATCTCTCACTTCTTTCGACTACCAGAGGAAAGCATAGAGGATCACCAAGTGACAGATGCAAACGTGACAAAACTCTGTGAATCGGTTACCTGGGTGGGCAAGTCTTCCCTCTACTACTGTGATGTAGTCAGTGAACGTCTTGCTACTTTGAAAGTGATGGAGGAGGAGGCACGTCGAGCCTTGCTGCAAAAGAAAGGGTGCCTGAAGAAGGTTGCAGAAAAAGCTCAGGTACCAAACGCTGGAGAAGTTAGCACAGCTGTCGCCACCCTGACCAACATTGCTGATGAACTGGGTGCGTTTGGTGACTGGTTGACTGGCCAGATCAGCAACTTTAGCGCATTTTCCCCCGCTGTCAAGCTAGAGTTTGAAAATGAGTTGAAAAAGTTCCCCATGGCATCTACAGAGCTTCAGAAGGCCAATTGCGCTGAATGTCCTAGAGATGTGGGGGCTGCTGCAAAACTGTTGGCTTCCGTCTTTGGTCTCCAAAGCAATCTGAAACTTCGGGCTGCCAGACGAGAAGCGGCGGATTCTTCTGGTCACACTTTTGATGGGTCCAAATGGAGAACGAAAAGGAAGAAAGGGGAGCTACACACACCACCAAGCAAAATCCGAAAATTGTTCACGCCAGACTCAAAAACAGACTCTCAGAGTTTTGAAACTGACCCGGGCAGTACTCCCAATACCAGTTCAGAGCAAGCTTCCTCTTCAATTGTGGCTGTCGACTCTGTGATAGATGAGGACCCGGTTGATCCATATGTTGTTTTTGTCCTAGCTGTGATAAGCAGATTTTGATTCTGCTTATATATCAGTCACAAATGGCTACACAAGGTTCAACCAAAAAAAACATATACATTTGGTTTTTTGCTTTTATATGTAAAGAATTTGAGGAGCAGGTTGTGCGGGCTGTCAAGTTCAAGGTCCAAGCAAGACTCGTTATATAGCCATGGATGAAAATATGATCAAATCTGTATGTATGTATGTATCTATCTATCCGACTATCTATCTATCTATATATATATATATATCCACAAAATATCACAGTGCTTGAACGGGGTCTATGTTAAGGGGAGTTCAGAGGTATGACAATGATCCCGATTGTCTTGTATACACTTTTCTGAAAAACAAATAACATGGTGCTGCTACAGGGTCTATGTTAAGGGGAATAGGAGCCCAAAAAAGCTACACAGAATCCAAAATGCAGAAGGGTCAATGATTTCTGCCCTCTCGTGGGGTCCCCCCTTCTTGGAGCCAAAAAATATTACAAATCAACAATTCTATAAGGAAACTTTTGTACAAAAAAAGGAAGTTGTATTTTGTTTTTTCCAGGATACCCCGATTTTCTTGTATCTACTTTTTTAAAAACAAAATATCACAAATCTGGAACGGGGTCTATGTTAAGGGGAGTTCAGAGGTATGACAATGATCCCGAATTCCTTGTATATACTGTTCTGAAAAACAATAACATGGTGCTGCTACAGGGTCTATGTTAAGGGGAAATAGGAGCCCAAAAAGCTACAAAGATTCCGAAATGCAGAAGGGTCAATGTTTTTTGCCCTCTCATGGGGTCCCCCCTTCTTGGAGCCAAAAAATGTTACAAATCAACAATTCTATAAGGCTATAAGGAAACTGTTGTACAAAAAAACAGATGTTGTGTTTTGTTTTTTTTGGGGGCTCTCCCAATTTTCTTATATATATATTATATATATATATATATATCTCGCGGGTATCGTTACATACACACCAAGTTTGCTGGGACAACTTGTTTTTGCAGGAAGACGGTGTTCAAGAACATCATCCTGGACAACAAAGTCAAATCGTTCTTTGCCCTGAAGAAGCTCAGGAGGATGAGCGGGTTGAGGAGGGGGAAGTGGTTGACAATGAGGGTGAAGAGGGTGAAGAGGATGAAGAGGACAAGGAGAAAAAAGGGGGTGGACTGTCAAGAAGAACACGTCTTCCTGTTTACAAGAAACTTCTTGCGATCAGGGAGGCAGATCGATTTCTTGAGGAAGGTCTGAAAACTGGTGTAGAAAAAAAGGTGATGGCTACTTTTCCTGAGATGTTCATGGGCACGAAAGGGAGGATGAAGTCGGGAATGCTGGGGCGCTGGATGGTTCAGTGCGATGAACAAGATTGGAGAAAGATCCCATTTGAAAAGATGTCCAACCATGATCAGCAACTCAAAGACTTACCAGACTGGATCCGCCTACCAATGGGGTTGCCACCTAGGTCACTTGACAAGTTCAAAAGCGGAACCAACATTCCAGGTGCTGTCACCAGAAAGATCATCGAAATGATTGAAAAAGTGACTTGCGGGGAGGGAACACGGTTGACTTCCGGCAGTGTGAAAGTGGACTCTGTGAAAAAACAGGCAGAGATACTACTCGAGGCCTACAACAGGGCCCAGCAGCAGGCTGCTGCACAACATGGGATGGCCATGCCAGAAGTGAAGTCCACAGTATCAGAGCGTTGGATCAATCGTCTGCTATCCCACTATGGTTGGAAACGAAATACTCCGAATACTCTGGGAGCATACTTGGAGTTTGACGATGAGCGTATGGTAAAATCAAGAAAAGCTTGGGCATTTCTCAGGCTACTGGGGTGGTTTTGGGGGCATTTACATATATATATGTACAATAAGCATGTAAAAAAAAATATAACAGGAGGTAAGGTTTACAATGTGCTTCTCACCAATGGGGAACCTTCAAAACCACTGGTATATCACCATTTTCCTTGGAAGTACGAGTAGGTAGGTCGGGGGGGTTCCTCATGTCTGGACCAGCGCATGAATATTGATATAATTGGTCAGTATAGTAATTATATAGTCATCTCTGCCTCGACAGATCCCTGCAGGTTGCAAAATGATGTTCGGCTAGACATGGCCCTGAACTTTGATCAAGTTTGGAAACAGAGTTGGTCAAATCCGAAGAAGGTGCTAACACGCGTGCTTGACACGGACTGCCCTTCTGTTTCCCTCAAAGGAAAGCGAGAGGCACTTTGGAATCAGCTTATGGCTATGCAAAAGGGTACTGCTCAGTGGACAGCAAAGCGCAGAAGAATCGCAGGAGGGAAATAGGGTAGTTGCTGTTTTTTGGTGGTAAGCAGAAAATGGACAAAGTAAGAAATCCAGTTATATACTTTTTTTTTACTGACAAGAGGGTTGGGCTACATATGGACTGTAATAAGCAGATTCCTTAATCTGCTTAGTACAGCTACAGCAAACACAAACATAATATGTACATATAGTCGACTAAATATATATATAATATTATATATATATATATTGATAATTTCTTGGGTCAAAGGAAACACTATGGCCAAGCTTCTTTCTTATAAGGGGGACTTCCCGAATTGTTAGTACCAGTTATCGACATGAAAACAAGGGGATAAGTGTATCCGCCGACCCCTGAAATGAACACCAGGGGAGTAGGGGAGCGTGTGTTTTTCCAAAATTAATTTGCAAGCTGGTTGGGCTACATATGGACTGTAATAAGCAGATTCCTTAATCTGCTTAGTACAGCTACAGCAAACACAAACATAATATGTACATATAGTCGACCAAATATATATATATATATCAGTATATATAATATGATATATATATTGATAATTTCCTGGGTCAAAGGAAACACTATGGCCAAGCTTCTTTCTTATAAGGGGGACTTCCCGAATTGTTAGTACCAATTATCGACATGAAAACAAGGGGATAAGTGTATCCGCCGACCCCTGAAATGAACACCAGGGGAGTAGGGGAGCGTGTGTTTTTCCAAAATTAATTTGCAAGCTGGTTGGGCTACATATGGACTGTAATAAGCAGATTCCTTAATCTGCTTAGTACAGCTACAGCAAACACAAACATAATATGTACATATAGTCGACCAAAAATAAATAAATATATATATATATATCAGTATATATAATATGATATATATATATATATATTGATAATTTCCTGGGTCAAAGGAAACACTATGGCCAAGCTTCTTTCTTATAAGGGGGACTTCCCGAATTGTTAGTACCAGTTATCGACATGAAAACAAGGGGATAAGTGTATCCGCCGACCCCTGAAATGAACACCAGGGGAGTAGGGGAGCGTGTTTTTTCCAAAATTAATTTGCAAGCTGGTTGGGCTACATATGGACTGTAATAAGCAGATTCCTTAATCTGCTTAGTACAGCTACAGCAAACACAAACATAATATGTACATATAGTCGACCAAATATATATATATATATATCAGTATATATAATATGATATATATATATATATATATTGATAATTTCCTGGGTCAAAGGAAACACTATGGCCAAGCTTCTTTCTTATAAGGGGGACTTCCCGAATTGTTAGTACCAGTTATCGACATGAAAACAAGGGGATAAGTGTATCCGCCGACCCCTGAAATGAACACCAGGGGAGTAGGGGAGCGTGTTTTTTCCCAAAATTAATTTGCAAGCTGGTTGGGCTACATATGGACTGTAATAAGCAGATTCCTTAATCTGCTTAGTACAGCTACAGCAAACACAAACATAATGTGTGTTCTCACAAACTGATGGTTTAATCCTGGTGTTTATGTGTGTGTGTGTACTCCAGCCCTATCCATCCCTGCACAGGAAAGGACGCGAGAGTTGATTCTGTCGAGCAAAGTCGGCATTCCATCACAATGATCACCTCCCTTTGGGGATCCGGTGAGGTGGGGCCCTTATGCCTGGTGTTGCCTCAAGGATTCCTACCCGGGGAGAAGCAAGCTGAGCTCGCAAAGCGCTTTGGACCCGATGTCTACTTTCTGTCATCTGGCCGGTCCACCCACTTCATGAATGCTGAGTGTGTAGTGGCTTTTTTTGAGACGATCCTAGCAGATGCCTTTGAAAGGCGAAGAGCTCGATTGGCTGAAAGGTATGCAAAAAGTTTCCAAGATGAGTGGGGTGTGCTTCTGTGTGACTCCTTCACAGGTCATCACTCAACCTCCGAAGGGGTCGACATCCAGCGAACCTCGTTATGTAAATGCATTTTTGGTTGGTATGTAGATAAGTTTTTGATGATGCGTGTGTGGAACACCCACCTATAAATATTATAATTATATGTGTATATATGTATATATATAGATATATGTATATGCGTGTGTATGCACATATTTGAATATGTATATATCAATATATATATTGTCTGGGCTATTTACAATGCCTGCCTGTTACTGAGGAGAGCTTTTTTCCAAGACGACCCGCGTGGTGCTGCCCGAGAGGCAACCCGGCGGGTGGAGTGCCCGAGGGCAGCCTTGCGATGCCATCCATGCGCTTTTGCGAAAGAACATGAACACATACCTGGAGACATGTCTGGGTTACAGGTCAGGCCTGATGTCTAGGGCTACTGAGACTCCTGTGTTGATGAGCAACGGCAATGTGCACCTAGCTGTGAGTCATGAAGATTCTGTGCTTTCCTGCATCTATGGGTGGCAGCGCATGGCTAAGAAGCAGAAGGTTCTGAGGCAGGGGGTTGGAAATAAAAATAGAATCCCATTGCTCATGTGGTTTGACCTGCATCTATATACCCTATATACACTATAGGCACACTATATGTATATACGAATGGTTACATATAATATATAGACACACTATATATAGGACTCCCATTGCTCATCTGGTTTGACATAGCTGTAATAAGCAGATTTCCCAATCTGCTTTTTACATCTACCCTTCGTTTTGAGGTGGGCGTGGCTGTCGAGGGGTATGGCATCCATCGAAGAGATGTGTGAAGTCGCTCCCGGTGAAGTCACACCAGAAGGTCTCAAGTCAGAAATGGAAGAGTGCGAAAAACATGTGGAGGATGGCGAATGGGAAGCGGGCATCGATGAGGTTTTCTCCCGGCCAGACGTGAACAGAACCATGTTCATTTGGCAGGTTGAGGTTGCCACAGAAGACTCTGATGTAGAAGATGATTGGGAAAAAGAGGATTCTGCATGGAGGTGTCTTCCACAACACTGGCAGACTGTCTTGAATGCCCGTTTGGCTCAATATCAGTCCTCTCTTCAAGACGCCCAGGCTCTTTATGAGTATCGTGTTGAAACCTTCGGTGCAAACGATGTGAAAACCAAAAATGCGAACCAGAAGCTCGTGGACCTTCAGTCTGGGAAGGGTGCGCGTTCCATCGTTTTGATGCTCAAGGGCAGTGGGAAGGAGGTTGGGCAGGAAGTCTACAGGAGGACTGTGCAGAATGACAATGGTGAGCTGAAAGTTTCGGTGTCTAACAAAATCCAGGCTTATCAGCTATGCGTGGATTCCATGAAGCTATCGACCCTCTCTGATCCCGTGGTAGAGAGGCAGCTTAGGATTGTTTCCGTCACTGGCTTTAGCAGAGAGCTTCAGGAAGTGCGGCTTCACCTAGATGTTGCTTCGCTCCAATCCAGCAATCTCATGGAGGGCTTCAAGTTTTCCAATTCTTCATCTTCTTCTGGGAAAAATGGATCAACAGAGGAGGTCCAGAAAACTGGTGGGATGGAGGAGCCAGGTGATGTGGCAGTGCTTGAGGATGAGTTTGAAGCTGCTGAGGACGGATTGAATGCCATCATCGGCGCGAACCCTGCTGACTTTGCTGAAGCTGGTGTGGAGGCCGACAAGGGGTCTGTTATAAGCAGATTGGGCATCTGCTTGTTACAGGTGGGAGAATTGTGCACGGAGTTCTGTCCAATAGGGGTACAGTTGTGTACATATGCATATACGTCTATATATATATATGTACAGGCTTACGCAAACAATTCTGTATTAGTAGGGGCTCTGAATTAGTGCCTGTAATAAGCAGATTGGGGAATCTGCTTATTACAGCTTGTTCTCAGTGAAAGTATACAACATGTAGCCACTGTGCGTCTTGCAGGTGTCGTTTGGCGATGCGACGGAAGAGGCTTCTGTTGACCTTTTTGGTGGTGCCGGAGGCCAGTATGAGGCTGATTTGGATGATGTTGCCAGTGAAACTGGCAATGAAGAAATGTGGAAAATCACAGATTCAGGTTTAATTTTCGAAGTTGGGACTGAAAAGGATGAACCTGACGAACAAGGTGAGGATCATCAGGTCTCAGTTGAGGTTTCAGGCGCAAAATTTGATGACGTCCCTGCATTTAAAATGCTTGCGTCAATTGGTTTGGCAAAGATCCCGAATGAAAAAGGATGCGGGATTGGAATTCATTTTACTACCAGTACATGGCAAATTCGGTACCCCACCGGGGAAAAACAATCGACTGCACGAACTTTTGGGGAACATGTGAAGGGCAAAGGAAAGGTGTCATGCGCTACTGCGCTATTAGAATGCCTTTTGTGGTCATGGCGCCAGCACCGTGTGAAACACCCATCCTGTCCTGTTTGTACAGAGCGCATCAAAATGCTTGAAGGTGCATTGGCTGTGGATCTTGGAAAGGATCTTGAGGCCTAATTTTATGAGATTTTCTGCGGGCCAGGTATCGAAAAAAAAATCATCATTTTATCATCATTTTATCCTCATTCTGGAACCTCATTAAATTTACATCAGATTTTGCCTTGGATTTTTATCCTCATTTTATCCTCATTTTATCCCCATTTCCTCATCAAATCCTCATTTTATCCGCATTTCCTCATCAAATCCTCATTTTATCCGCATTTCCTCATCAAATCCTCATTTTATCCTCATTTCCTCATCAAATCCTCATTTTATCCCCATTTCCTTATCAAATCCTCATTTTATCCTCATTTCCTCATCAAATCCTCATTTTATCCCCATTTCCTTATCAAATCCTCATCACATCCTCTTTTTATCCTCATTTTATCGTCATTTTTCTCATCAAATCCTCATTTTATCCTCATTCTCGATCCTCATTTTGTCCTCATTTCCTCATCAAATCCTCATTTTATCTTCATTTTAGCCTCATTTTATCCTCATTTCCTCATCAAATCCTCATTTTATCCTCATTTTATCCTCATTTTATCCCCATTTCCTCATCAAATCCTCATTTTATCCTCATTTCCTCATCAAATCCTCATTTTATCCTCATTTTATCTGGATTTTATCCTCATTTCAGGATTAAATGAGGTTCATGAAACAGGATGCGGCTCACAAAATCTCATAAGCCTAATTAGCAAGGCGGGTCTGCAACTGGCTGAAAGCCAAAAAAAAACAGCGCACACGAGAAGTGAAGGGAGAAAAAATGCAGAAGTGCAAAGCTTGGGGCATCTGGGGAGAGCGGACCACTGGCTGAAAGCCCAAAAGTTGTCTTATGTGTATATATATATAATATATTCATGTTTTATACGCATATTTTGAGCAAAATTATGCACAGCCCAAATTATATATATATATATATACACCAAACAACTCAAGAAGTGGCCCAGTGTCGGGAGACAACAGTAATAAGCAGATTTTCATTTTACACATTTTTAGGGGCAATAAGCAGATAGATTACCGGCGAGTGAGGCAGTTGAGCAATCCGCTTGTCTGCCGGCAGGGGAGGAAATCTGCTTATTACCCGCCCGTGACTATATACTATATATATATATGTATGTAACAAGAATGATTCTATTGTATACCAATTTCAAAGGCTCCGGTTTCTTCTGTGTTCATTGCGACAATGGACAACACTGGTGATTTAAGAGAATTTCATTTAAGAAAAATGATGGTATTATGGGGTTATTACGGATATTATGGGGATTTCACTAACAATGGTAATGTCATGCGATGTAATAGGATATTCAGAAGCAACAATATGGAGCTCTTCATTGGGACGTAGGGAACATCAAAAAAGGGTGGTTCCGGTATTTTTTTTGTTTCGGCAAATCCAAGGATGTGTCTGTGTGTCTGGAAATGGGAGACGTCCACATAATTGTAACGTTAAGGGAACATCAATTACAATGACAATAAGTGACCAATCATGATATTTTGGAATTTCTAATTTTCAGACAAAGCCACTGGTTGATGTGTTCCAATGATTGTGGTTGAGTTGGGAGAACTGGAATTCACTGGCGGCAAATCGAACCCCAAATCAATGGAACCACCTCGAATAAATTCAAGTACACCAACAGTCTGGTCAGTCTTGCTGGTTTCTCTTTTTTTGGGTATCTGTCACGGGCCATTAATATTCCCAAATTTGGCCGGTGATAGGTTTCGCATGATCTTGCTTGGCATAGAATAGGCATCTAGTCAACTTCAGACTTGTGGGATCTTGTGTGTGTTTCCTGCTTTGATGCAGCCCATGTCAATGCCGGTTGATGTCATTAGCCAAAGAATCTAAACACACACGCACACACACACACATGTGATCAACACATATCAGAATATGAGGGTTTGGTTCAGCAATGTGAGGCAACCCAAATGATGTTCAGAACAATATTCTCTGCCAGGAATGCAGCGATCTGCCTCCAATGGACTTCCTGCTGAGGGCGGCGCCAGAGGCTGGTCTGTATGACTTGACCACGGCAAACTGAGTCGCAGATTTCTTCAGTGATGTATCATGATATTATGCTGGGGGTGTTCATCTGTTTTAAAATGGCGGTTACATTGAAGCTCCGACACCGCGGGTGGTTTCATTGTTTGTTCGGAATATCTTTTTACGGTATTCCACGTGGTTCGCCCAGGTGTCCACATCAGAGGCTGCGATGCAGATGAAGATGCTCTTGGAACCCCAGAAGGTCGCGGAAGAGGCGCCAGTCGTTGGCCCTGAGCCGCAGTTGGGTTGTGATGCATGACTGCTATCCATGTATCCAGATGTATGGAAAAAAGGATGGCATGGATATGCATGGAATACTGATGATGATTATGGAATGATATGACAATAAGAATGATACCTAAGCCTATATTATCCTATATTCTATTATTAGATATGGTCCTGGTTGATTGATTGGCGATGCTGTGCTTTTGCTGGCATCACTCCGGTTGCTCTCTCACAGTATCCAAACACAGCAACACTGGCTGAATCTTTCTCAGACAGAATGCAAACCTTTGCTTGAAATGAGTCGTGAAATTTCATGAAATACTTTGTGTTGTCGCCAAGCAATTCCAGTGCCATTGGCCTTCTTTCCCCTGTCAAAGTCACAAACTCGGCTCTTTCCAAGCGGTGTCCTTGGCAGGTTTCCGAGATCTTGCAGGACCTGGTCCTGCCAGATGCGGAGAACTTGGATGATCTGGACATTGCCATGGAGCCCGAAGCAGCCGAAGCAGCCGAAGCAGCCGCAGCCGAAGCAGCCGAAGCAGCCGCAGCCGAAGCAGCCGAAGCAGCCGAAGCAGCCGAAGCAGCCGCAGCCAAAGCAGCCGAAGCAGCCGAAGCCGAAGCAGGGCCGGAAGCGCTTGAAGCACCCGAAGGGCCCGAGGGGCCCGAAGGGCCCGAAGGGAGGGAGCTACAACAGCAGGAGGAGACGGTTTTTGGAATGAGGTAGCAATGGAATACAATGGATCCACATATCTACTGATTTTAGGAATGAAATCATCCAATTGAGCGATTCTTGAGCCAATCCCGCCTTTCTGCAGTCTCAAGTCTCAGCCAGTTGGAACTATCCAGATACTGTACTATTCCATGACTGTTAATATCCGATACCAGCATTGACTTTGTTCAGCATCGTGAGATTGCACTACGCCAACGTGTCTCCATATCCCTGCGCAAAGCGACCTCCGCAAAGGAGATGCAGATCGTACCGCGTCGAAAGCGGCGGAGGAGATCCATTTGGTTTGATGAGAAGACGCAGATTTCAGACAGGGCGTGACCATGGTTGGGGTCTGGTTAGAAAATGTTGGAAATTCTGAAAATCCCAACGAAATCCGAAGATTTTGCAACATTTACATGTATGCCAGTTTGCCAATGCAACCTGTGGTGAAATATTTTCTCAGGATGATAAACACTCACTCAATGAAAGGAAGGGCTTCAGCTGAGTGAACTGGGGATCAGGTCTTACGAAATGATATTACATAAATATATAACAATATATATACTATATATATATATTATATTATATATATTATATAAATACTATATCGATGTATTAATCATCAAACTAAAACCGATGATTTGATGAATTGTTCAGGCTGGATTGAAGAAAATGCAGCTGGGGGTGGTTTGAATGACTGCATGGCTGAGAAATTTACCGGGCCACGAACTGGGTGCATCATGGTGCAGGCATGTTGGTCCAGGTTTATCTTGGTGGCGTCCAGATACAGAAAAGGTCATATTCCTGGTTTTTGTTTTGCTGTTAGTGCTGCACTGAGTACAGTGACAACATGTGACAACCATGCCAACCTTGAATGGGTGTCTCCTACGTTTCTAGTATCTCTTTTAAAGGGACTTATTAAGCTCGGTATTTCCCAGTAGAGGAAAATCTAGAATCTAGAACAAATTGAACTCGGGGTTCATGTTAGTGCGCCACAGTGGGTCATTACAATTATATTTGCCGCAGGTTCTGCATTTGCAGTGCCTTGACAGGTACAACAACACGAGCAAGATCACTCGTGCCAACCCCTTCGAGTATGGCATTTTCTTGCCTCACCAGCTTCAGCCTTGGAATCACTACTGTACAAGTTTGCCCAGCTGCTGGTTGATCGTTTCATGTTGTTGCTTTCGATAATCACCACCTTTTCATACCTTTTCATTGTAGGGATGGGTGAAATCAGTCAATTAAACTTCGTTTGTAAAAGTTGATGATTCAAACTTGGCAAAGCCGAGAAAAACATAGAAAAACTGGGTCCAAATTGCTGCAACCCGGTACCGCTGTGATGGTTCCTTCCAAGGAGTTATCATGTTGGTTTGACCACTGCTTTTGGTGATATTTGTCCACTGCTTCGCGATCCGTTGGGAGCCCAATCCGGTAATCCGGCTGATGTGAAAAACTCTGAGATACGAAACAATAAGCCAATCCCAAACCATGAATGCTAAGCTACACACAGCTCATATTAATGCTCATATCAGATCTATTTGTTCATTTCTTGTATCTAATCTAAACAACATGAGTGCATCCGAATGGTTCCAGATAAATATAGTTAAATATATTGCATATGTTTTTCGTCATCACCACTGCACATCCGAAAGAGATACGTCCAGTTATTACTCTATGTCTGCACACAGTGACTCGCTGGGCACATGAGATGTCCCGATTTTTGTCCTCATTTCCAGATTTCCAGCCTGCAGGTTGCGACGTGCAAGTGAAATTGGGGCCAGGCCATGCAATCGGATCGATCGGATGCGATTCAGGTGGCCATTGTGACCTCTCATGTCATGAATCGAAATGAATTTGCCACTGTAGATACTCTTAACATCTCTTAAGTGTAGGTATGCAAATCTCTCCAACTTTCCAAGAGTTTCTTGCTATTGGAACAGATGTAAAAACATGGTCAGCTTCATGGGATCTTCTGCAATAAGCCCTGCTGAATCCTGGTGTTTTGCGAGGCAGAGAAAAGCGAGGGCCGAGGCCAGAGTCGAGGCCATTGAGAACCAATGGATGAGCATCCTTGGGCTTTGTGGTTTTGTGATGTTTTGTGGCTGTATATCAGTTTATAATAGTTTATATTCGTTTATACAGAATTGTGTGAAACAAATGAGATCAGTTAAGAATAGTTATATAAAATGCAAGAGATGGACTGAGGATTTTGCAGACTCATCCCACCAAAACAAATCTTAAATCTGCTATGGGCGGATATCATGGTGCCACGTTGAAACATGTCAGGAGGCTGATATGCCTTCTCCCCCGCGAGTGCCGTTCGGGAGCTCAGCTCCAGAGGCCTGCTGAGCTGAATGGTGTTAGATTATGGCCCCTACCTTGGGTAATTATTCCAGGGGGGCATGTCACATCAGGAATAATTGATTTGGAATAAATAGTTTTAGGGCCTATTTTTAATTATTCTGCTAAGGGGGTCTATTCTATGTCAGATGTTGTATGGAATAATTCGTGTCAACATACCTCAGAATAATTAGCTATTAATGGGCATATAAACTCAGATGATAAGTTATGATAAAATTTGAGCCATTATTTGAAAAATAGATGACAATATATGACAATAGATGAACGGTGATGACATGTGCATACATGTGCATACATGTGCTGTTATGATCTGTTATGTGCTGTTTCATCGCCCGTGATAGGGTGCCAGAAAGAATGTCAGAAGATATCAGAAGATATGCCAGATAGAATGTCAGAAGATATGCCAGATAGAGTGCCAGAAAGAATGTCAGAAGATATCAGAAGATATGCCAGATAGAATGTCAGAAGATGTCAGAAGATATGCCAGATAGAAAAGCACAGGGGTCCCAAGGAAATTATTTATCTTGACTCATTTGTCATATTTATTCCACAGGTCACCCACATATGTCAAAACACCCAGGAATAATTGGGCATCACCAGGAAACACCCAGGGATTCTTCAAACCATGCGTTGGGTCACCAATGTTCACTCAGGGGCCCATTGGTCTTTGGCTAAGTTACCATAAGTTACCCATATGTCTTCCACAGGGCACCCACATATGTCAAACCACCCAGGGAAAATTGGGCATCACCAGGAAACACCTAGGAATTCTTCAAACCATGCATTGGGTCACCAATGTTCATTCAGTGGGCCCATTGGTCTTTGGCTAAAGTACCCATATTTTAACCACAGGTCACCCACATATGTCAGAACACCCAGGAATAATTAGGCATCACCAGGAAAATCCAGAAAAAACCCAGGGATTCTTCAAACCATTCATTGGGTCACCAATCTTCACTCAGTGGGATTCAGTGGGTCCATTGGCCTTTGGCTAAGTTACCATAAGTTACCCATATGGGAATGTCTCCAAAATGGAGTGCCCCAAACTTTCTTTTTTCATCTGAAAAAAAGTTTGGGGCATTCATGTGGGCACCCCTATTTTGAGACATCCCCATATGTTTTCCACAGGTCACCCACATATGTCAGAACACCCAGGAATAATTAGGCACCACCAGGAAACACCCAGGGATTCTTCAAACCATTCATTGGGTCACCAATGTTCACTCAGTGGGTCCATTGGTCTTTGGCTAAGTTACCATAAGTTACCCATATGTCTTCCACAGGGCACCCACATATGTCAAACCACCCAAGGGAAATTGGGCATCACCAGGAAACACCTAGGAATTCTTCAAACCATGCATTGGGTCACCAATGTTCATTCAGTGGGCCCATTGGTCTTTGGCTAAAGTACCCATATTTTAACCACAGGTCACCCACATATGTCAGAACACCCAGGAATAATTAGGCATCAACAGGAAAATCCAGAAAAAACCCAGGGATTCTTCAAACCATTCATTGGGTCACAATGTTCACTCAGTGGGTCCATTGGTCTTTGGCTAAGTTACCATAAGTTACCCATATGTCTTCCGCTAAAGGAAGGGAAGAAGAAGCGAGGAACATTCTGGCCCGTGCCAACAAAAATCAAGCCGACGACGGTCCAAGCACGAGAAAAGCCGCCATACGGGCTTATAGATACCTGCACATCATGGCGACACAGCATGGAGCGCTGATTCAACAAGCCTACGTAGCAGCCAAAACTCATGCGGCACGTAGTAAGGGACCCATTGATCCCAAGGACACTGCAGGATACTATCCTCTCCCAGATGAGCTTCCGACAGTACCGCCAGATCTCACCTCTGGACTGTTACACTGTCTCTCCACTCTAAACCACCCAGGGGAAATTGGGCATCACCAGGAAACACCTAGGAATTCTTCACAGGTTGAGATAGGTGGAGCATTGCCGGAGCACATCTTTGAAACCAGGAGCGAGCAAAACTTTCAAGATCCCAATAAACTTTTGAGCTTATTTGAAAAGGTTTTCTGACACTAGGTTTCTAGTGGTTTGTGGCAATACAACCTCAATCAACACATTTTTATATGAGTGGAGAGGGGGGGGTTGCCCTAAATTTACCCTAATTATTCCCGATGTCGTGTGACATACTGGAATGTTTTCCCAGAACATGTGCAATGGGGCTGGAATAATATCCAATTATTCCAAGGTATGCTGGCATGGGGGGGGCTATGGCAGGGATCATGTTAGATTCCTTGGGACGCCTTAGGGATCCTTGGGGTAGCGTAGTGATTCGTTGTGATGATTGATTATTTAGGGATGATATAGGGATGATATACAGTCACCGACAGAATTATGGAAAAAAAAAACTTTTCAATTTACAGGCGCTGCCTGTCTATGATAGAAAAGTTACGAACTTTTTTTTTCCATAATTATTTTTTCCATAATTATTTTTTTTCCATAATTCTGTCGGTGACCATCGATTCGCAATTTGAATGCATTTTAAGGGGGAATATTGAATTATAGAAAATATGTGTCTAAAGATCTGGGTTTGAATTGTGGATCCATGACATGTCCAACAAGTGGAGCCCCAAACATTAATTATGGAAAACATAATTATGGAAAAAATAATTATGGAAAAAATAATTATGGAAACACCGGTCAATCTGCCCTAGCCCCCTGATTTCACAGGAAAAATCAATTATGGAAATAAAGGCCACCTCCAAGAATTATGGAAAAAAAAAGGTTCGGATCACTTCCGGGATATTTTGAACCCTTATGGGGAAAAATCTAATTATGGAAAAATCGGACGCAGGCGCCGCCTGTCTAAGTTGAACGTTTTTTTTTTTCCATAATTCTGTCGGTGACCATAGGTATGATACGGATGATAGGGTCTTCGGATTACTTTTAGCAAATCCTGTCATCGTGTCAAGGTGTAGATGGTCTTAGGAAGACATGCAAGTGTGCAAGTGCAAGAATAGTGTGATATCATGCGAACCTTGGATTTTGCGCAGATTCAATCAGACGAAGGTGCACATCTGTGCACATCAAAATCATCAACTGCAGACATATCATTGATCGCTCTGAAATTCATTCTTTTCGATAGTCCATGGCCAATGCTTGAACTTGTGCCCCATTCCTTGAGGTTAGCTGCTGATGAACTTCCTGGGGAGTCGCGAGCCAGTGCAGCTGAGGTGGGAAACCAGTCTGGTATTGATTGGTGCATCCTCTCTTCCTGGAGACGCCCTGGAGACACATATATCAAGATTCGGGAAGCAAGCCGGACAGCACTGGGACACATAACAATGGCTACATTGGGTCTCACACAAATGTTTCTTTGTTTGTTTGTTTGCGTTGGATCTACTGAGTATATTGATATCAAAAAGAGATTTGGTATGATTTGCTTGGTGGGGCAAGGCATCATGTGCGGAAGATATGGTGCAATATGTCAAAATGTTGTCCTCAATGGCTGGATGTTCATTTTTATTCTGTGGTCAGCGCGGAAAAGGCATTCAGGGTTTTAGAATAGTTATATAAAATGCAAGAGATGGACTGAGGATTTTGCAGACTCATCCCACCAAAACAAATCTTAAATCTGCTATGGGCGGATATCATGGTGCCACGTTGAAACATGTCAGGAGGCTGATGTGCCTTCTCCCCCGCGAGTGCCGTTCGGGAGCTCAGCTCCAGAGGCCTGCTGAGCTGAATGGTGTTAGATTCCTTGGGACGCCTTAGGGATCCTTGGGGTAGCGTAGTGATTCGTAGTGATGATTGATTATTCACCCCGCTTCGCGTGGGGTGGCCGCCCACACCGCAGGTTTATTTCGGTCCGTGAGAGGGGCTAAGGGTGGTTTTCCCCCGTGGGGTCTCCCCAAGCTAAGAATTTTCACTTTCCCCCCCCGTGGTGGCTCCCCAAGCTAGGGAATTTTCACTTTTCCCCCCCGTGGGGGCTCCCCAAGCTAGGGAATTTTCACTTTTCCGCCCCGTGGGGGCTCCCCAAGCTAGGGAATTTTCACTTTTCCCCCCTGTGGGGGCTCCCCAAGCTAGGGAATTTTCACTTTTCCCCCCCCGTGGGGGCTCCCCAAGCTAGGGAATTTTCACTTTTCCCCCCCGTGGGGGCTTCCCAAGCTAGGGAATTTTCACTTTTCCCCACCATGACAGCTTCCCAAGCTATGGAATTTTCACTTTTCCCTCCCTTGGAGGCTCTCCAAGCTGCGGAATTTCAAATAGCTAGACAACGACGCCTAGATAGTCCCCCAAATCCCGTGTTCTTTGAATGTGTTTCCATGTTTTTGCAATGGTTTCCTTCAAAGCACGGTACTTTACACTTTTGTCGCCATAAAACCGGTCGAAAACATCATGTTCGACAATGCTTCCAATTCCCTTATCTCCCCAACCGTTGAAAATACCGCTATTTACAGTGTTTTCTTCAATTTTTCCATGTGCCAATGCCGGTAGCCAACTCCAACATATATATAAGAAATCCTTCCAAAACATTGTTTTTGACAGTGTTTTTTCCAATGTTTCCAGTCAAACAGACGGTAATTTACACGTTTTTTGCCATAAAGGCAGTAAATCCTTCCAAAACATTGCTTTTGACAGTGTTTTTGTAATGTTTCCAGTCAAGCATACGGTAATTTACACGTTTTTTGCTATAACGTCAGTCCAAAACACTTGTTTTTGCAGTGTTTTCAATGCTCTGGCATCCAAAAACCCTGCAAAATCTTGCTATGTACAATGTTTTTTTCATTTTTGGCCGTTTTTCCATTGCCGGAAAGCTACCAAAATGACCCAAAATTCCATTTCAATACCCTCTTGCGCTCAGACACCCAAAAATCCTCGAAAAATGTCGAAAACACCACCGTATTCTGGTCTCGGTGCGAAACCGTTTTTGGCCCCCCCCCCAGCTAAAGCTGATATAGCGACTGCTATATTAACAAATGTCATTGAGCATTTAGTGTTGCTGTTGCCCCCCAATAAGCACGCCTTCACCGCCAAAGCGGTGTGGGCGGATTTAGGGATGATGTAGGGATGATATAGGGATGATATAGGTATGATACGGATGATAGGGTCTTCGGATTACTTTTAGCAAATCCTGTCATCGCGTCACGGTGTAGATGGTCTTAGGAAGACATGCAAGTGTGCAAGTGCAAGAATAGCGTGATATCATGCGAACCTTGGATTTTGCGCAGATTCAATCAGACGAAGGTGCACATCTGTGCACATCAAAATCATCAACTGCAGACATATCATTGATCGCTCTGAAATTCATTCTTTTCGATAGTCCATGGCCAATGCTTGAACTTGTGCCCCATTCCTTGAGGTTAGCTGCTGATGAACTTCCTGGGGAGTCGCGAGCCAGTGCAGCTGAGGTGGGAAACCAGTCTGGTATTGATTGGTGCATCCTCTCTTCCTGGAGACGCCCTGGAGACACATATATCAAGATTCGGGAAGCAAGCCGGACAGCACTGGGACACATAACAATGCCTACATTGGGTCTCACACAAATGTTTCTTTGTTTGTTTGTTTGCGTTGAGTCTACTGAGTATATTGATATCAAAAAGTAGATTTGCTATGATTTGCTTGGTGGGGCAAGGCATCATGTGCGGAAGATATGGTGCAATATGTCAAAATGTTGTCCTCAATGGCTGGATGTTCATTTTATTCTGTGGTCAGTGCGGAAAAGGCATTCAGGGTTTTAGAATAGTTATATAAAATGCAAGAGATGGACTGAGGATTTTGCAGACTCATCCCACCAAAACAAATCTTAAATCTGCTATGGGCGGATATCATGGTGCCACGTTGAAACATGTCAGGAGGCTGATGTGCCTTCTCCCCCGCGAGTGCCGTTCGGGAGCTCAGCTCCAGAGGCCTGTGCTGAGCTGAATGGTGTTAGATTCCTTGGGACGCCTTAGGGATCCTTGGGGTAGCGTAGTGATTCGTAGTGATTCGTAGTGATGATTGATTATTTAGGGATGATATAGGGATGATATAGGGATGATATAGGGATGATATAGGTATGATACGGATGATAGGGTCTTCGGATTACTTTTAGCAAATCCTGTCATCGTGTCAAGGTGTAGATGGTCTTCGGAAGACATGCAAGTGTGCAAGTGCAAGAATAGCGTGATATCATGCGAACCGTGGATTTTGCGCAGATTCAATCAGACGAAGGTGCACATCTGTGCACATCAAAATCATCAACTGCAGACATATCATTGATCGCTCTGAAATTCATTCTTTTCGATAGTCCATGGCCAATGCTTGAACTTGTGCCCCATTCCTTGAGGTTAGCTGCTGATGAACTTCCTGGGGAGTCGCGAGCCAGTGCAGCTGAGGTGGGAAACCAGTCTGGTATTGATTGGTGCATCCTCTCTTCCTGGAGACGCCCTGGAGACACATATATCAAGATTCGGGAAGCAAGCCGGACAGCACTGGGACACATAACAATGCCTACATTGGGTCTCACACAAATGTTTCTTTGTTTGCGTTGGGTCTACTGAGTATATTGATATCAAAAAGAGATTTGCTATGATTTGCTTGGTGGGGCAAGGCATCATGTGCGGAAGATATGGTGCAATATGTCAAAATGTTGTCCTCAATGGCTGGATGTTCATTTTTATTCTGTGGTCAGTGCGGAAAAGGCATTCAGGGTTTTAGAATAGTTATATAAAATGCAAGAGATGGACTGAGGATTTTGCAGACTCATCCCACCAAAACAAATCTTAAATCTGCTATGGGCGGATATCATGGTGCCACGTTGAAACATGTCAGGAGGCTGATGTGCCTTCTCCCCCGCGAGTGCCGTTCGGGAGCTCAGCTCCAGAGGCCTGTGCTGAGCTGAATGGTGTTAGATTCCTTGGGACGCCTTAGGGATCCTTGGGGTAGCGTAGTGATTCGTAGTGATTCGTAGTCGTAGTGATGATTGATTAGGGATGATTAGGGATGATATAGGGATGATATAGGTATGATACGGATGATAGGGTCTTCGGATTACTTTTAGCAAATCCTGTCATCGTGTCAAGGTGTAGATGGTCTTCGGAAGACATGCAAGTGTGCAAGTGCAAGAATAGCGTGATATCATGCGAACCTTGGATTTTGCGCAGATTCAATCAGACGAAGGTGCACATCTGTGCACATCAAAATCATCAACTGCAGACATATCATTGATCGCTCTGAAATTCATTCTTTTCGATAGTCCATGGCCAATGCTTGAACTTGTGCCCCATTCCTTGAGGTTAGCTGCTGATGAACTTCCTGGGGAGTCGCGAGCCAGTGCAGCTGAGGTGGGAAACCAGTCTGGTATTGATTGGTGCATCCTCTCTTCCTGGAGACGCCCTGGAGACACATATATCAAGATTCGGGAAGCAAGCCGGACAGCACTGGGACACATAACAATGGCTACATTGGGTCTCACACAAATGTTTCTTTGTTTGTTTGTTTGCGTTGGATCTACTGAGTATATTGATATCAAAAAGAGATTTGGTATGATTTGCTTGGTGGGGCAAGGCATCATGTGCGGAAGATATGGTGCAATATGTCAAAATGTTGTCCTCAATGGCTGGATGTTCATTTTTATTCTGTGGTCAGCGCGGAAAAGGCATTCAGGGTTTTAGAATAGTTATATAAAATGCAAGAGATGGACTGAGGATTTTGCAGACTCATCCCACCAAAACAAATCTTAAATCTGCTATGGGCGGATATCATGGTGCCACGTTGAAACATGTCAGGAGGCTGATGTGCCTTCTCCCCCGCGAGTGCCGTTCGGGAGCTCAGCTCCAGAGGCCTGTGCTGAGCTGAATGGTGTTAGATTCCTTGGGACGCCTTAGGGATCCTTGGGGTAGCGTAGTGATTCGTAGTGATTCATAGTGATGATTGATTATTTAGGGATGATATAGGGATGATATAGGTATGATACGGATGATAGGGTCTTCGGATTACTTTTAGCAAATCCTGTCATCGTGTCAAGGTGTAGATGGTCTTCGGAAGACATGCAAGTGTGCAAGTGCAAGAATAGCGTGATATCATGCGAACCTTGGATTTTGCGCAGATTCAATCAGACGAAGGTGCACATCTGTGCACATCAAAATCATCAACTGCAGACATATCATTGATCGCTCTGAAATTCATTCTTTTCGATAGTCCATGGCCAATGCTTGAACTTGTGCCCCATTCCTTGAGGTTAGCTGCTGATGAACTTCCTGGGGAGTCGCGAGCCAGTGCAGCTGAGGTGGGAAACCAGTCTGGTATTGATTGGTGCATCCTCTCTTCCTGGAGACGCCCTGGAGACACATATATCAAGATTCGGGAAGCAAGCCGGACAGCACTGGGACACATAACAATGGCTACATTGGGTCTTATATAATATCATTAAATATATATATATATATGCATATGAATTAAATTAAATGTTTGTCTATTTTTTTTTTGTCTGTCTGGGTCTACTACTGGTATTGATGCAGGGTGCGTGCGTGCGTGCGTGCGTGGGTGTGTGTGTGTGCCTGTGTGTGTGTGAGATCTGTGATACGTAGATACCTTGGGGATCCTTTGGGAACTCTCAGGGACAACTTCAGCTGAAGCAACACACCTTCCGCTGCCAATTCTGTCAGGCGCCGCAGCCCTCCCAAACGGAGGCTCAAAGCGAGGCGACGCAATTTATATGGTTAATACTACTTTTTTAAAGCAAGATCCTATTTCATAATTCATCATTATTCGTACTTTTGAGTTGAATCACGTTGATAATTACGTATGTTATTTGACTGTCACTTAGTTTTCTTTGATATAATTTCATTATTTTGCAGTCAAAAATGCTGTCGCCCACATTGGGCTTTTCTGAGTCCGCAACTCTTCATCCATCCCCTACAACTCAAATCTGTTTCACCCGCTGTACATGCACACAAACACATTATGAATATATAATATATAATAATCGAAGGAAGTTTAGAAGTCAAACTTCCGACAATATGGACAGATGAAAAGCAGAGCAGGGAAGAGGCAGAGAGAAGAGAAAGATTAGAAGAAAGAAGAGTAGAAGAGAAAGACTAAGAAGAAAGAAGATGCAGATGCGCGAAAAGGTAGGAAAGTCGCGAAACACTGTGTTTTTCCAGGAGGGTCGAAAAGTAGGCACGGGTGCGGAGCCAGCTGGCCAGATGAGAGATGAAAAAGTGCACGCCGTTGTGGCGCGAAGCACATTTCGAAGTCAAGAGTGTAAAAACTGACGGTCTCAGACCACTTTTGGAAGTTGAGATGTCGAAAAAGTGCACGCCGTTGTGGCGCGAAGCACATTTCGAAGTCAAAATGTACAAATCACCACATGTTCGCGCCACTTTTGGAGGTTCGGATGTTGAAAAAGTGCACGCCGTTGAGGTGCGAAGCACATTTCGAAGTAAAAATGTTCAAAACACTAGGGGTTTGGACCGCTTTTGGAGGTTCAGATGTCGCTTCGCTTCGCTTCACTACAATAGACGACATTACACTACACTACACTCCACTACACTACACTACATTACACTACACTCCACAACACTACAACTACAACAACGCAACTACACTCCACTACACTCCCCTACACTAAATTACACTACACTACACTACACTCCACTACACTACACTCCACTACACTACATTACACTACACTACACTACACTACCTTCCACTACACTTGACATCACTTGACTACATTACACTACATTACAATACATTACATTACATTACACTACATTACACTACACTCCACAACACTACAACTACAACAACGCAACTACACTCCACTACACTCCCCTACACTAAATTACACTACACTCCACTACACTACATTACACTACACTACACTACACTACATTCCACTACACTTGACTACATTACACTACATTACACTACACTACGCTCCACCACACTACAACTACAACTACACAACTACACTCCACTACACTCCACTACACTAAATTACACTAAACTACACTACATTACACTACACTACAACTACAACTACACAACTACACTCCACTACACTCCATTACACTCCACTACACTAAATTACACTACACCACACTACATTTCACTACACTACACTCCACTACAACTACAGCTACACAACTACACTCCACTACACTCCACTACACTCCATTACACTCCACTACACGAAATTCCACTACACTACACTACATTACACTCCACTACACTCCACTACACTCCACTCCACTACACTAAATTACACTAAACTACACTACATTACACTACACTACACTCCACTACAACTACAACTACACAACTACACTCCACTACACTCCATTACACTCCATTACACTACATTACATTACACTACACTACACTACATTCCACTACACTCCACTACACTCCACTACACTACATTACACTACATTACACGGAATGACACTGCACCACAGATAGACAGGTAGACAGATAGACAGATAGATAGATAGACAGATAGATAGGTAGATAGATAGATAGAAAGATAGATAGATAGTAGACAGATAGATAGATAGATAGATAGGTAGGTAGGTAGGTAGGTAGATAGATAGATACATAGATGCATAGATACATAGATACATATTACATAGATACATAGATGCATAGATACATAGATACATAGATAGATAGTCAGAGAAAGAGAGAGAAAGAGAGGAGACCTCAAGCACCTTTCGGTCCATCAGTGGCTTCGCTCTGCCATCCCTGATTCACAACAACCAAGCTCTCCTATAGGTTTCCTATTTTTGAAACTTCCGCCACCGCCTTGTGCGGTACTACTGGTAATAGTAATAACAATAATAACAATAATAACAATAATTCACATACATACACATAATGTGCATACGCATGCGCACACACGCACACATACACACACACACATATATATATGCATCCGTATGTATGTATGTATGTATGTATGTCTGTGTGTGTGTATGTATGTATGTATGTAATGTAATGTAATGTAATGTAATGTAATGTAATGTAATGTAATGTAATGTAATGGTATGGTATGTATGTATGTATGTATGTATGTATGTATGTGCGTGCACACAGACATATTGCATGCATTTTCGACTCGTTTGCTTGGCCAGTGATGGCCTTTGAAAGCGCACTCTTTCATGGCCTTGTGCCTGGGGCAGTCATGCACCAAATATCAATTCTTTGTGCTGTCCTGCATCAATGGTGTGTCCATGTGATTGCAGAAATGCGACAGGGAGTGATGCAACCTTTGCAAGAAGCTGCACAAGAGTCTGCCGCCGAGGCTGTCTGTTGCTTCGAGGGAACAATTTTATGCAGATTGCAGATGCAATAGTAGTTCGACGACTTTAGCACAGACTTCTAAATTGTTCAAAACTGAATATCGGTTCAGTCAGTTCAGTCTCCATTTTGTTAAATTGCCTCTATTATTTCTCCAGCATGAAGTCGTCATGATTCCGTCATGCCTAATCTAGAATGATCTAGAATGTCAGCCAGAACCTGGGACGTGAAGTTGAGGATGTTCAAAGATGACTGAACTAGACTGACTAACTTCAAAGTGACCAATTTTGCCTAACCGCGGGCTCCTTGGAACGCTTTCATGCTTTGTTTGTTCCAAGATCTTCCGACCTTGGGCATTTCGGTCCGGTAGTTGAGAGCTTCGTGTCCGTGGCATGGCTTCGTGCAGCGAGCAGGCCGCTGGTCGTTGTGGATGGGTGAGCCCGCCTTATGTGACCGCATTGTCGCTTCGAGTGGCTGGCAAGTGAGCAAACAGCTTGGTCGAGGGCAATATGGCACAGCATATTTGGTTTGTTGGAACGAAGAGAAATGTGGTGAAGAACGGAAAGGTCAACATCCAAATGGAGATCAGGCGGTGGCCAAAGTGGTGGGCTTGGAATATCTTCCGGAGAAGGAGCATAACTTGGCCTTCCAGGAGGTTGAGCTCATGCGAGCCTTGAGACATCCACATATTGTGGCCCTGCGGGATCATTTCCTCACTGAAGCCAGCCTTGAGCTGATCATAGTCATGGAATACTGCAATAGTGGTGATTTGAGGGGTGAGGTGAAACGTCGCACTCAGGCGGCAGACCTCATTCCCGAGCCTCAGATCATGACCTGGTTTGTACAGATGACCTTGGCTTTGAATTACATGCATCAAAGGCATATCCTGCACCGAGACTTGAAGAGCTCCAATGTGTTTTTAACCACCAGCCCTAGAGGCGATGGGGAGTTTGATGTCCGCATCGGTGACTTTGGCATCTCCCGTGTTTTGGAGGGCACCATCGATGTGGCTGCGACAGTTGTGGGTACTCCATACTATATGTCTCCTGAGGTTTGCAAAGCAGAACCCTATGGATACAAGAGTGACATTTGGGCGCTGGGATGTGTTCTCTATGAGATGTGCATGTTGAAGCACGCCTTTGAGGGACAATCATTGCTTGGCCTTGTGTACAAGATTGTGAGTGAGACCTACGAACCCATTCCTCCACAGTACAGTGCAGACCTGCGGACCTTGATTGATGACATTCTTGAGAAATCCTCCTCCAAAAGGCCAAGTGGGCTAGAGTTGATCTCTCGAGCCTATGTCAAACGCTTCGATGTCCTTGGGCAAGCGGAAAAAGATGCCAAAGAACTCCGACATGTCAAGGGGATCGAACCCCTGGACTCCAAACCAGAGCCTGTGTCCACCCCGCCAAGAGCACAGGTGCCCACACACAGCCCTGGACCAAAGGTCGAAAAGGTGGTTGAAGCAACTCCTCAACCAGCCGAGGACCCTCCGGTGAGGCGCGAGTGGCGCGCTCCGCCTTTTGTTTCAAAACCAGCTCCTCAGCATTCCCTGCCAGAACATGAGCTGTGTGCACGTGTATTGCTGAGCCGCGTCCGTCGTGGTTTGCAAGCAAGGCGGCAGAACTGGCTTCAAGTCTTTGTCAGCTACGCTTGGCTTCAGAAACGCTCTCTTTTCACTTTTTTTTTAAAAATATTTTTTTAATATTTTTTTCATGATTTGTCCTCAACATAAAGTTTTTAAAGTTGGAAAGAAATCCAGCCTGGAACATGCAGTGCTTCTGTTGCCAGGAATTTCCGTGTTGGTAAGAGAGGCTTGATTTAAGGACTGTTTTCTCATGTGTGTAATAGCAAGAACAACAAGGACACTTTACATCGTTAGTCCATGTTAGTCCCAAATATTTACGTAGCAAAAAAAACATGCAGGGCATTGACAGGAGGTTTTGTGAATTTTTGAATTTCACAACTGGTGGAACTGCTCATCCCCCAGGCGAGCTTTGATCACAAAGGTGACGGTCAGCTCAACGAAGCCGAGTTCGAACGGGCGGTGATTTCTATGGCCTTGGGCTTAAGCGATCAGGAGATCCGGGAGGTTCGGATCTTCCTGCAGGGCACCCAAAGTCATGTGCCTGTGGACATGTGACTTGGCTGACAATCGCCACTCTTTAGATGGCAATTCATCGCGGAGTGAATGGTTCACTACCCCTATATATATATTATAATATATATATATATTTATCATCAAATTATATGTATAATATACTATACAATATGATTAAAAAATATATCCGATATTATCTATATATGTTGTTACTACATGCAGTATTATTGTTATATCAGTTCATGTTTTTTTTGAGTGTCAACTGTAGCCCAGGTTTGGAGATGCTCTCCATCGCGTTTTTCCTGAAGTTCAACAATTGGAGGATTGGGCCAAGAATTTGCTCGGAGAGCTGGCCCAGAAAGCTTCACAGGCGAGGCCAAAACTGTGGATTTTCAATGAGTTTCAAAGTGGCCTCGAACTGATGCTGTTGTAATTTGTTGTGTTAACACAGTTTTGCCACTTCAATAATGCAAGTCTGTAAGTATGCTTCCAGCGCGCATATTTTGGTCACTCATCAGGTAAAATGCATGCATATTGATGAAACTGCTTACGCACTCATAGCGGGTTTCTTCCAGGACGTCCAAGCCCCCTGAAAAAGACATGACAAATAGATAAAGATAAAGATAGGTCTTTTTGCTTGGTCAAGCCAGCAACACCCAAATTTCTAGGTGGAGGATGCCAACAGCCGGGATGTTTTCCCTGGTGCACAAGTGCGAGTTCATAGTTTGCAAAGTGCCCTTGGTGCCAAACTGAATGGCTGTGAAGGCGTAGTAGAGAGCTGGAATGCCGCCACCTGCCGTTGGCAAGTGCGCATCAGTGGTGTGGGAGTCAAGGCGATTCGTGATGAGAACCTGGAGCCTTTGAATCCAGGGATGAAAGGTCCTGACTCCAACAGCACCTCTGAGACCATCTCCATCTATCGACTGTTGTGCCAGGATGGTGTGACAGCAGTGCACGAGACCGACTTCCAAGCTGTAGTGCAACGCTTGCTTCCTCAAAGCCAGGAGCAAATGAAGAAGCTTTTGTGCCTACCATTTGCACAGCGCATTTTTTAATGCATCTTAATGTGTTTTTTCCTCATGTGTACCTGGTTTTCTTGAGCAGCATCTTGAAACAATTGGATGAAATCGGAACAGGGTAGTTTTGTGCACGTTCCCATCATTTCCATCAAGCCAAGGTGGTTGTTACCCAAGTGCCCTGATGGCAAGGTGGATGTCCCCGAGGCGCTAGCTCAGCTGGAGAGGGGCTTTGATCAGACGTTGCATGCTGGAAATCAGACTCCACTGGGAGGTTTTAACACCAAAACCCCTGCGGTGCCAAAGCTGATGCCAACCCTGAACCCTGGGCCTCCCATGGGGGGAAAGTACCGGCATGGACTTGCACCAACTCCATCACCGGTGGCGGCACAAGCGCGGCAAGGCCCTGCAGGGCATCATGCCCGGGGTGAAGCAGTGCTGTTGAGATTGTCGCAGCGTTTGCTTGGAAAACCAAGATCTCCTGGTCCTGGGGTTGAGGTGTTCAGGCTCTTTGCGAGAAATCCAGATGTGGTCACCCTGGAAGAAGTGATGGAAGCTGTGAGTGTACTGCCCTTGGGCATTTCACGTGCAGAGGTGCAATCCGTCTTTGCCCAGGTCAGGGGTTGTGGCACTGGCACCTTGCCTTTATCACAGTTGACCACTGCTGCTGAAGCGGCCTGCAATGCTGGAGTGCCACTGGAGGCAGCAGGGCAAATCGATGCCAAGCGGCTAGGCCCTGCATTGCAGCGTTTGGGTGCCAGGGCATCGCAGCAGGAGTTCAGGGTGGCATTGATGCAGGCTGAACCTTACATGACCCACAATCAGATGGAGTGGTTGTCCGAGCTCACTGACAAGGATTGTGAAGGTCGTCTTCTACCTCCAAGCCTTCTTCCACGACTTGGCATTGGGCCCAGTGGCAGGGCAGAACCTTTGTCATGGAACACAGTGCCACCAAGACCGCCTGCGGCCAAAGGCATTCGCTCTGTGGCGCATAGTTTGCCACAGGTTCTGGTACTTGCGACCTTGTTGTATCGCATTCGACAGAGGCTGTTTGTGGGCAGCCAACTTACCCTAGGCTCCCTCCTGGGCTTATTTGATGTTGCTGATGGTTCCAACCGGCAACTGGCTGAGTCAGCTGTCATCAACCGGGATTTGCTAGGCAGTTTGCTGGGGCACTTGAGACTTTCCATCTCTGTGGCAGAAGCAGATGAACTGCTTGCAGCCATAGCCGCCACCGGTGGGAAGCGCTCAGGTGACTCTGGTTGTGTTCAAGTTGCGTTGCTCTATGACATGGTGGACCGTGCAGGTCAGCCCGAGATGGAAACCATGGTGTTGGAATTGCGGTATGCAGTGCGACAACGCCTTTGGAGTAAAGCCTCTTGCTTCACTTCGGTGGCGGGTTCAGCTGAGCTGCTTTCAGAGCCAGACTTTCGGCGTGCTTTGAAAGCGGCCATGGCCGAGTCTTGGGCAATGCCTGGATCACTTCCAGAAGATGATGAGGATCGGGTGGTTTTACTCGCTGAGAAGGATGCAGAAGGCCGAGTACTTTGGCGCACCTTTGTTCAGGCCTTCTGCGGAGGAATCGAGTTGGATCAGATGAGTGAAATCACTGAAGAACCCCCAGCAAGTCCAACCAAAGGCAAGAGTCGCACTCCTGGAGGTCTTCAAGTTGGTACTGCTAGTGTGAATGGAGTCAATGCTGGGATGTCAGCGCAAAGTTGGCGCTCACAAAAAGCAGCCCAAAAGATGGAAGGTCGATCAGTGGTTTCCAGCAAAGGTCAAGCAGATACGCCTTTATCGCCTCAGAGCCGACCGAAGCGTGGTTTTTGTTGCTTCCGGCGGCGAAGCTTGTAGAATCTTGACGAATCTTGTAGATAGAATTCGGGCCTCGCGAACAGAGCTGTAAATGTCCCAGAACATTCCCACAGTGTACCATAAGCTTCTACATTCTACACTTCTACTCCAACCAACACAACACCTCCAGCTGGCCCTTCTCTGAAAAAGGCGAGATTATTTTGGAAACTTTAGGAGATTCCCAACTCCAGCCAACTACAACTGCCCCGTTCTTCATGCTTGAGCCATTTGCATTGAAGCGAGCTTACCTAGCACATCTTAGCACAACAATGGACCAAAAGGAAGATCCACAGAGACAATCCCTTGGCCACAGCACTGGTGTTGAGGCTTGTTTCACCCTGACATTTTCACCAATTTGAGTTGGCTTTGGCCAACTTGAAGGCAAGTTGTCCGATGTATTGGTCAATTGCCGCAACCGCGCCAAAAAAAGACAGCGAGCTGGCCTGGGGAATTTGGGGGGTCTGTTGTTTGCAGACATTTGAGCAGTTTATAACGCAGTGCAGATCACAAATCCGGCTTTCCGACAACGGCTTCCGCTGATAGGGCCAAGAGTCGCAGATGACAGAGGCGGCTGCTGTTGGGCTAGTGGATAGCTGGTCAGAGGTAATTGCAGACTTAAAGAATCTTAGAGACATCTTTTCTGCATTTTTCTGCAAGGTCCCGTGCTTCTTGGTGTATGATCTCATCCTGTTCCTGGAGACTCAAGCATCAACAGAAACAGAAACCATGAGTCTAGTGCCCTAAATGTCGCACATCTTGTCACTTGGACATATTATGACATATTATTTGTCCCTTCTCATCCTCCAATGACAGCCATGCCACTTCCCAAGTTCACCTACTTGGATCTCAAAGGCTTCGGAGAGGCAATTCGACTGGCGCTCTACATTGGGAATGTTCAGTTTGAGGACCACTTGGTGAGCCGCGCAGAGTGCGTAGAAATGGAGAAGGCTGGCAAACTTCCCTTCGGCCAAGTTCCCGTTTTGGAAGTGGATGGAGAGATCTACGCACAGAGTGGAGTCATTTTGAAATGGGCTGGGCGACAAAGCGGCTTGTACCCTGAAGATGAAAAGCTTCAAATGCGTTGTGATGAAATCTATGATACTCTGACGGACATCAAGCGAGTGCTCTTTCCCGCATGGCATGGTGGAATTTGTGGACGGAATCCTTTCACCAAACAGCCCTTGGTGCCCATCCCAGATGAGTTGAAGGGAGATGTTCTGAAAGGCTTGAACGAGGTTTGGCTTCCCTACCGTATGGGTCAACTTGAACGCGCCCTTGAGAAATTTGGTGGTCCTTATTTCTGCGGTGCAAGGATGACGATTTGCGATCTGGAGTTCTATGTCGCTAGATTGCATGGGAGGGGAACCAGATCGATTGTCAACATAGATACAAGGTACTCCCTGGCAAAATAATATGGACAAAAAAAATAGTTTTCTTCATTGTCCATGTTATATAATTGAGGGGTGTTTCTGGTGCGGGATGGTCCAGGTTAACCTCAAAAATCACGATTTTGGCAATTTCAGAGATTAACATGGAACTTGGCACTTTTTACGCGGTATTTACACAGTATTGGGGCTTTGGCCCTTTAACATGGAATATTAACAGAAAATCAATGTTGAAACCCAAGTTTGCAATGGTCCATGTCAACCAAAGAAAAAGATGCAGTATTTTGATGTATTTTGCAGGTTTTGGTGATTTGGACCATTTGACATGGAACCTTCCAGGGTATGACCAATTATCTGCAACATAGAAGCAAATATAAAATCCGTGGGGTAGACTTTTTTCCATGTTAAGATAAAACCCTTGACCGCAGGTGCCATGTTAAGAGAGGTTTTTTCGTCTTTCGAGGTGTATGTTATTTTGCAAGGGTGTATAACTATACAAGGTATATACAAGGTGTAGCAGGGATTTTGAGAGATGCGGCAAGTCAGGACCTGTTGGGACCTCAACGATTGTGCTTCAAGAACCAAAATAGGTACAGTAGTGCATGACATGATGTTTCAGGCACAACCAGCCTTGAATCAAGCTTGCAAGAAATTTTGAGTGGTTGCTTTGTCAGTTGAATAATTAGTTGAAATATTTTGCATTAAAGAAGCGGGGTGACAAAAAGGACGGCGCCTTGCCCCAGCGCGTGTGCGCCTTCATGTTGAAATTGAATCGGCTCCGCAATTGTTGATTACACAAAAGACTCAGGAAAGAATCGCCAACAAGGATGTGGAGAATGGTAGCATGGTAGTAACTGCCGAAGGGCCGAAGATAGCTGAAGTTTAGAGTCTAGAGTATTCCGACTTTAGGACTGCCTTCTGACAGGGTGCCACATGGTGCCACTAGTTGCGGTCTCTGAGTTCCATACGAGTCCCAGAACTTAGCATATAGGTGGCCCTGTCATCCTGGCTAAGGGTTTTGCTTGGCACACTTGCTTGAGATTCAGGCCGCCTCTGAACGGTAGCAGCAAAACTTACGAAGCGCAAATGCAATCTGCTCGAAAGACACTGAGGTCATGGGCTTGGGATTCCTGACTGAGTGCTATGTGGATGGTGTCAAATCAACTATTATGGATGGATGCCCTCTATTGAAGCAGTTGGTGGAGCGGGTGGGTAACAACCCCAAGGTGACGGAATGGAATGCTTTGCACCCGAACTCACATTATTGAATCGATTGAAACCATTTTTTGGCTGTAACATTTGGCAAAGAGCTGCAAAAGCACGGCTTTTTGTACTGTCCCCTGTCTCATTATTGCCTCATTGAAGGCGCCTCTAGACAATTTTAGACAAGACATCAAGGATCAGGAGCCCTCTTCTGTCATCGTACTTTTAATCATCGTGAAAAATGCAATCCTCTGCACAAAGTGCAAGGATGGTTCCCTCGTTGCATCTCTGGCCCGCTCGCTGTAGTTCAGCACATGCTCAGGCCATTTCCAGAGGCACAGTCGGAGTCAAGCGATATGTCTTTACACTCAAAATACATCCAAATATGCCAATCTGTAGTGTATGTAGCTTGCTCACACTTCTGCACGGTCCTGTCCTGCTGACCCTGGAGCCTACTCAAAGCGGATGAATGGTGCTCTCTGTTGAGAAAAAGGTTCGAGAAGCTAAGACTTTCAAAAGTTGATGGGTCCAAATTTGGAGGGGTCTCCCGAAGAAATGGCCCGGAAGCACCCAGAAACTTCGTTGCCTGATCTTGAGATGTTTAGCAATATCAGGGCATACTGAGTAGAACTTGGTGACTGGACCTTGTCACACATGTTGCATGTTTGAAAAGGGCTCACAGCTCAGTGCGCTGACCTCCGAGCTTCATGAAAAGATGCAGACAGTACATGCGACCATGGTAGTTGCAGGTGGGACTCAACTTTGTGAACGCTTTTTAATATGTTTGTGTCCTCGCATCTTTTGATATCCTTTGCCAGATAGTGGGCTAGGCCTCTGAAGTTCTACACTAGGCTACTACTCTAAGGCTTTGAAACCTTTGAATGGGTTCAACGCTTCGTCGCCAATGTCGGAAGGCACTCTCTTTCTGCATCCTTGCCTGTTTTATGTTTAGGTCTTTCAATCGTTTGACAGCTGCCATGGCAATTCCCAAGTTCACCTACCTGGACATCAAAGGTTTCGGAGAAGCAATTCGGCTGGCACTCTACATTGGGAAGATTGAGTTTGAAGATCACAGGGTCAGCTATGCTGAGATTCGAGAAATGGCCAAAGAGGGGAAGCTTCCATACGGCCAAGTGCCAGTTCTGCAGCTGGATGGTGTGACTTACGCACAAAGTGGGGCAATCTTACGATGGGCTGGGAGACAAAGTGGTTTGTATCCTGAGGATCACAAGCTTCAGCTCAAAGTTGATGCGATTGAGGAGGCTTTAACTGACATTAAGAAACTGCTTCCCTCAGTATGGTATGGATCGATCTTGGGACGAAATCCTGCAACCAAAGAGCCCTTGGTGCCAATATCTGATGCGCAAAAGGAAGAAGTGCTGCAAGCCCTGAATGAAATTGCCCTTCCCTACAGGTTCGGTCAACTTGAACGTGCCCTAGAGAACTCTGGTGGCCCATACTTTTGTGGCGAGACCATGACAACTTGCGACCTCAGCTTCTATGTTGCTAGACTGAAGACTTAAGACTGACATAGGGAGCAGCAACTTTAGCGAAAATAATAGTTGGACAACAGGTATAGTTGCAGAGTTGCAGATCACCAAGTAAGGAAGGACTGAGTTGTGGATAGCTCATGATAGCTCTGATATTCATATGAGCTGTGGTCAATACTCATGGTCCACATGGTTAATAACCATTAATAGGGGCTAGTCATCCAATGGTTCATAGGGATTTATAATAACCATTATAAGGATCCTTATTATGGATGGGATGACCATCAACCATATAGTGAGTATTGACCATGGCTCATATAATTTCATATTTCTGGGATTTTCTAGCTTGTATTGTTGACATGCACGTGTTTTGACTTCAGTTCAAGCATCGGATCGAGTGAGCATTGGCACCTTTGGGCACCAAAAGATCTGTGAGCAAAACATCAAACACGTATAAACACCTTGGAATTCTTTGAAAAATATATATAAGAAAATGCCCAATGGATTATTCAGATTCTCCGCAGTTAAATGATTTTAAACGGCATTTTTTGGGGCACGTATCTACCATTTTCAGACTCAGGTCATGGGCTTGGGATTTCTCACCGATTGCTATGCATATGGCGTCAGAACGACTATTCTGGATGAATGCCCTCGATTGAAAGCCTTGGTTGAGCGGGTCGGTGATCACCCCAAAGTAAAGGAATGGAACGCTGCTCACCCGTGAACTCGCCGTGAACTCCGTGAACCGACCTAAGCATCTCGAAGCCTTGACTCATTTGGACCCAATCCTGTGCAAAAAAGAGAAGTCCTTATGCCTTGCATGCCATTGCTGTAGGCAGGCCATCAGCAATCTAGATAAGACAAGACAGGAAAGAAAAACCTCCTGTCGTGTTGGATTCTCTAGAATCTTGGACTCAGTAGCCAGTGGCCAGCGAGAAATGCATGATGTCCCGATAGACTTGCCTTCCATGAACCACCAGTCACCTGCAGGGGGCTGTGCAACCTTCGAAAGATCCAGTTGACATTGAGGTCATTTGAGCGTTTTGCGTCACGCTTCTGAGGATACTGTTTTCCAAGTACTGAGCAAACAATCCTGCCAGAAATCATCCTCAGCAAAATTGAATGGACGTTCCATGGAGCACTGGTACATACTAGGATAATAAAGGATAATAAAGGAAGGGTGCAGCGCAAGGCTGTTGAGTTTTTGGTCAAGCTGAGTGTTTTTTGAAATCAGATGCCCTACCAACACCGAGAGCCTAGCAGAACTTTAGGTACGAATTCACAATACTGTATATAATTGACCCAGATCATTTCTTAGAGCTGCAGTTGATGGGGGACACGGCTTGCGCTGTTGGCTCAGGGAGAGCTGTCCCCCCAGCTGAGTGCAGCAGTGGCCCCAGTCACGCCTGGACAGTCATGCCTGGACAGTCATTCTGCAGATGTGGAAAAGCTGAGGGTTTTTCGAAGATCCCAATGTTATGAAAAGATTTGAACATATTTTAGATTTAATCCTTTCCCCCTACTACTAAACGTCCCCCAAATACTAAAAACTAGGGTCCATCTCTAATTTCGGAAAATTTCAGGTTGGCCAATTTGACTTTTAATTGATCCCCTTTAGAAAACAATTTAAAAATAAAGCTACCATTTGTGGGTTTTGCCCCCCAATAACAAAAACTAGTTAACACCCGGGTGTTTATTGTAGTTTTTTATATTAGGGCTATTAATTTATTATTAGGGCCCGCTTCGAACACCAATTTTTGGCAATATTTTAATTGCGTTATATAAGGAAATTTAATTGATTTTGAAATCGAACAAACTAGTTTTTATTATTAAGGTTTTAATTTTATTAATAGGGACCGCTTCGAAATCCAATTTTTGGCAATATTTTAATTGCGTTATATAAGGAAATGTAATTGATTTTGAAATCGCAAAAACTAGTTTTTATTATTAAGGTTTTTAATTCCATTAATAGGGTCCGCTTCGAAATCCAATTTTTGGCATATTTTAATTGCGTTATATAAGGAAATTTGATTGATTTTGAAATCGAACAAACTAGTTTTTATTATTAAGGTTTTAATTTTATTAATAGGGGCCGCTTCGAAATCCATATTTTAATTGCGTTATATAAGGAAATTTAATTGATTTTGAAATCGCAAAAAATAGTTTTTATTGTTACTGTTTAAATTTTATTAATAGGGTCCGCTTCGAAATCCAATTTTTGGCAATTTTTTAATTGCGTTATTTAAGGAAATTTAATTGATTTTGAAATCGAACAAACTATATAGTTTTTATTATTAAGGTTTTAAATTGATTAGTAGGGTTTCCTAACAATAAATACCTCCCTAATAATAAAAACTACCTGAGGTGTGTATTAATAGGGGGGTGCGTTTAGTATTACAGTAGGGGGAAGTGATTAGTTTTTTAGAATCTATTTGACATTTGGATCTGTTGGTATCTAATGATTATTTTGATATCTATACTGTATCTGTGTTCGTGTCATTATAATTAATTGTATCAATTGTATCACTATACAAATTGTACCATTAATTGAATTTGTTCACTCCACTTTCTGACTGCATATTGCACACGTTCTGCATTCGATTTTGACGCAGTTGAGCTGGGACACTCAAGGTGGAGGATCCTGCATTCTCTGCCGCCTGAAGCACAGACAAGAGACTGTGTTCACACAGCTTGGCTTCCACCCACAGTAATCTCCAAGTCACAACCAAATTACTTTCTTCGAGTGACCCCCCCACCAAGTGACATTTTATCTGACATATATTCTGAGATTCGATCTGGCATCCTTTCTGGCATAAATATCGGCATTCTAGCTGAAATTTAATATGCATTCTGTCAGGCAGAAGAGCGGCAAAGCTTGCCTGATCCAGACTCTGCTGATGGCTTATCCATGGTGGAATTTGGACGATTTTGGAATTTAGATGAAGAGTAGTGATGCTGAACAAGATTGAACAAAGTCCTCTGAAATTGGATCTGGATTTCCTTTTCTTGATATTTTGGATTATTTTGGCACTTGTGCTGTTAGTTTCAACATTTTGCAGTATAGAAATATAGACTGAGATGCCGAGTGTGGTTTCGCAGCTGGACTGGTGGGGGGCATTGGGCTAAGAAACAACGACTCAAATGATCTCAAATGTCTTTGATTGGAGGGCCCGGCATTGACAATTAAGACTTATGATAAGACAATAGAAGATAATGGAAGACCTCTTCACACCTTTTTAGCTTTGCAAGAAACATTGACTTTCTGAGGGGCGTACAGAGAGGGACCGAAAGCATCCGAAAGCTACTAACTTCACTGGAAAGCTCCCAGACATTCCTCAACCACCCAGACCCTTTCACTCGAGGTAGTGCCATTAGAGGCGGCTCAGGCTTCTGAGGCAGGACTAGTGAAAGGGTTTGGGCAAAGATTCAAAGGTGATCAACTAGTTTTTAGTATTAGGGGGCAAAACCCACAAATGGTAGCTTTATTTTTAAATTGTTTTCTAAAGGGGATCAATTAAAAGTCAAATTGGCCAATCTGAATTTTTCCAAAACTGGAGATGGAACCTAGTTTTTAGTATTTGGGGGAGGTTTAGTAATAGGGGGAAGGGATTACATGTACATACATGTTAGATGTGAGCAAACGAGGTGTTCTTGGATCGGCGGATGACGATATTGCATTTTTTCTGCGTATTCTGTCATTTTTTTGATCATGGGTAGTTTTTTTGCAATTTACATACATATATTCTGCATATTTGCAGTACATGGAAGACACGGGACGGTCGAAAATTCGTCAAGAATTTTGGAGTTTTAGGAGTTTCAGGACTAAATAAATAAGCTTAGAATGCCGTCCCGGATTCTTTTAGGGGTTTCAGGACTAAATAAGTAGGCTTAGAATGCGCCCCAGATTTCTCACGGGGTACGCAAAATTTTTTACTTGAAATCCATGTATTTCCACAAAAGCCTCATTCTAACTTTCAGTGTGTACCGCCGGACTGCCAGGAATGGATACTTGCACATATAATATATATTATAATATATATATACACTTGAACAATGATATAGACCAGATTGTATATGGAAAACTGTGTTTTCATACATTTCTTTACTTTCACACAACCATAGCACCCACAGGGAAGCATTCTAAGCTTTCCTCAGTTAATTTCGAAACCATCACAAGAACAAAGTTCACCATCATTTGGTTTCCCCATCATCTGTTGAAACTGCTAATATAAGAGAAAGAAAAAACTGTTTTCCCCAGCTAATTCTGCAAATATTTTGAATGTTTTTGGGAACCCATGGGGGGCCGCATTCTTAAAAAAATACCAGACACATTCTACTTGGTTGTTAAAAAAATTGGAAAACAAAACAGCATTCTAATTTCCAGTCCGGCGGTATAAAAGAAGTTGTGTCTTGTTTGCCCTTTGTTTTTCAATTAATACTATCCGCATCGCCCCCAGGTCCAAGTAGTCTTGCCACCTCCTAAGAGACAAGCTCTTGAGATGCAAGACATGCAAGGCGCCAAGCCCGGTGAAAGGTCTTGGAGTCTTGGATGTTTGAAGGTTTGAAGATGGCAACCCCAAAATTTATCTGTTGGATAATGTTGACCTATTGTCCTAGAATCTTATAGCAAACCAATGGTTGGGTCTCCTCAATTTGGCGTATCAGTCTGTTTGATGACCAAAATGGGAGATGCTGTCAGACTGATGCGACAGGTGGCAGTGTGGTGCCGGTGAAGGTGGTTCCTCCTCAGGTGCACCGTTGGACAAAATCTGGCTATCCGATGGCATGAGTCGATGGCCGGTCCCCTCGAGAAAAAGGGTGTTGAACACTAACAGAAAGACCACTTTTTTTGGGAATCATCCAGGTTTGTGGATTGACCCTAGGAGCCACTACTTGAGCTTCTAGGGCTTCAGGAAAACATCAAAAACATCTCTGTTCCTCCATGTGTTGGTCCTCGGTGTCTCGGTGTTGGCCTTATCGGCAAATGTTGGCAACAGCAGACAGGTTCAAGTGAAGCAAGAAGAGCGCATCGAGGTCGATCTGAACAAAGTGTCTGCAAAGCAGGCTGCGAAGCAATTGCTGTTCCATGGCAAATTTCGACTGATCCATAGATGATATGCCGTGAATCATGATTCCATTATATTATTATATTCTATAATATATATATATATTCTATATTGATGTTAAACAGATGTCTCTTGCGACTTCTAATTCAGCAACATCGGCACACTTTGAAACGTCATATTTTTCTGCACGGCTTCGACGACGGACTCGTCCCACTTCCCGCCAGGGCAGAGAGCTCCGTGCATCGCTCCATGAGGATCTGAAAAATCAGCTGTGTGGTTGAAGCTTCCATGGAAGCTAGTTGCATATAGTTGCATCTATAACAAGATTGCTCGAAAACTCCTTTGCCTGCAAAAACAATCCTAAGTGATGCAGTGACATGACACATTTTTTACATTTCACACCCAAACTATACAAACTTGTGAGGACAATGCGTTGTCATTCTTGGATCTGTGTGCAGCATGCACTGCAGAGGCAACATTGTGTTAGCCTGGTGATTTGTGTTTGGTTGTTTCCTGAGTCTTTTCACATTTGTGTTTCACCCTGCAAACATTTGGTGACACCGATTGATGGGCCAGTTGATGGACAGGTGCTTTAACAAGTTCTGTTCTTGCAAACAAAGTGCATTAAAGTGCATTGTTTTCGAAGCGCCAAAATCTTGTGACAGGCGGCGGCGTGCCGCTTTGTTGATCTACTTTCACTCCACATGAACGGGGTTGTATCTTTGGAGCAGGCCAGTCACGGGGCTGCAAACCGCAAGTTACAAGTACCAAGAAGATGGTCATTGAACAGCCTATTGACCAAATTTTGATGCACATTTGTCTTTGAAGCAAGAGGCCAAGAGGTCTCCAAAGTGTCTTGAAAAAACACAAGAGTTTGAGACTGCTTAATTGATAATGAATTGATAATGAAATGATAATGAAATGAGTTCAAGTCACATTGATCACATTGCATGCTTCCAGTGGATCCAGTAGGTTGAAGGATGCGCAAAAGCTCACCCTCGCAGGCAAAGCCTTACGGCGACATTTCCATTGCGAGGGGAGATGAATGGAAGGCTCGCTTTTTGTACCGTTCTGTTGTGTCTTTTGGTTTTGTCAATTTTGTCATATTCAAAAACAATGAGTTGTATTTAGTAGTACCAGCTTCTGTTTGTCATTTAGTTTATTTCCATCTATACAGAACATGCAGGAATGGTGCGACGAGTCTAAGCGAGGGGTTAAGCCTGAAGCCTGGCACCACTTCGCTTTCTTCCTGAATGGTAGTTGCTGCTGTGGATGGTGATGTGATGTGATGTGACGTGACGTGACGTGATGTGATGTGATGTGATGTGTAATTAAGCTTGATTTAATGCCATTGACTTTTCTAGGTTTGGCAATAGTGGTTGCAAATCTGAAGCTTTTAGGACAGATTGCCATTTGCTCAATGTATCTCAATGTGTTGAGGCGTGAAGCTCGTGCAACCAGCGACTGAAGACCCAGGCCATGAAACATCCAGATCCAGATGGAATCAGCGGTAGCTGAGTTTTCAACATCTTTTGCAAAGCTTCAACTTTTTGTATCTTTTTGTCAGGCATGTAGTTCATTTTCTACTACGCTGTAGATGAAGAAATCCTGCGTCTTAGTCTTTCACCACTCTGTCACGCCTTTTCAAACTGTGCAGGTCTGTTGTTTCTCCAGACCCTGGTCTGGGCAACAAGGGGAAGATCATGAAAGATCCGACGTGGCAACAAAAAGGATGCGCTAAGTGAATCCAAGGATGGTGTTGCCTCTGACTGTCTCTGGTTGTCAAAGCTGCAAAGATAGAGGAATATCAAAGAATATCAGACTCGTCAAAGCCTCTGACTGTCTCTGGTTCATCAAGGAATATCAAAGTGCCAGGTCTGCTCCCAGCAAGGAGAGATGGAGGACGGAGTTGGCCAGCTGTTTGGACTGTACTCGAATCTCTGAGATGTCAGGCCTTGGCTTGGCCCAAGGAATGCAGCGGCTGTGTTGGGAAAAACTTTTGATCTGTGCATTCTATCCTGGCAATCTTGGCTCATCGACTCATCGCTACAAACTGATCCAAACCCACTTGCCGTTCTGGCTGAGGCACGACATGGCACGACATGGCACGACATGGCACGACGATAAAAATAAACAGCAGCTTCGCAATGACATGCAAAGCCGCCAAAGCTACACAGAGCTTCACTTTCTGACAACTCAAAAGTTTGAAAGACATAAAGATGCAACAGATCAGACAGAAGAGATTTGATGCAACAAATTCTTGCTGGCAAGGCTAGTGCAGACTAGTGGTCACACAAAGGACAGATTGGATAGAGCCATAGTGTGGAGGCGAGGTTTGCTGAGATGTGTGGTGATGTCTTTTGTTTTCTACCACGGGACATCTGAGTTTGTGCAGGGCACGTTGTTCGATGCTATGAATTTCTGAAGTCTTGTTGCCTCGTGTATTTGCACTGAGTCTCAGGGTCTCTGAAGAATTCTCAAGACACAAGAAATGGAATGACATTAGAGTTGTTGCAGTGCACGGTGGATTCTCATGACTGTGACAGATTTGTGTGAGTCTTGAACCAGACCACCACTTTCAACAAGAAAGATTTGGACCAGCTTCTTTTGACTTGCAACTTTGCATCTTGGGTGATGGGTTTAGACATCGGTCCACATGTCAAGAATGTGGGCGCAGGGGTTCGACGCTTCTCGCCATGTTTGGTGGTGGCGGTGGCGGTTTTGCAGCCGCCCAAGGCCTTGGCAGAAATCCGCTCGAAATCTCGGGAGAAGTGGACAAATTCCAATCCAATCGGAACTGAATTTTGTCTTGCATGTCAAGATGAGAAAGATTTGTATCAAAGCATTGTATTTACTGTATATTGTCATTATTCATAGATAATCATGATAATTATTAGTATAATTACAATATGTTATAGTTACAAATATATATATATATCATTACATATATATCTACAAGAATTGGATTGAAGTTCGAACAGACTTTGTGTCAGGATGTTTTGTGTGCAGTTTGAAGGCTATGGTGGAGGTGGTGGAGGCTTTGATCAGCCTGAGGCTGTGCTGGCTGTTCATATGGGACCCCATATCCATGCAGCAGATGGTGAATCGAAAACTGATCAAGACTTACAGCCATCGATGGGAGATGCCAGGCAGCCATGAACCCACCTGCAACCCAGGCAGGAGTGCCCTTGCTTAGAGTTTTTCGTGTGTCACATCGCAACTGGTTGCAGCATGTTGCAGCTTAGAAACACCATGAAATCCGGGACAGGGCCTGGCTGGCTTCTTGAACGACGTTCCTGGATTTGCATTCGTGCTCTGCCATTGCCATTCGCATTTGATGAGATCTTATTGTGTTTGCATACGCTTGCCTTCGCATGTAGTTCCGGAGTTTGGGTAGAGAGAAACAACGAATAACAAAGACATCTACTGTAGAGTAGGCGACGAATTGTTTCGAATCACATTGAACTCCTCAACATTCCTCAACCCGTCTACTCCTATTGAAAGATATTGAAGGTATCGGTATGAGTTGCTGCTTGTCAGATTGTGGAAGGATCATGGAAATCCCTGCAAGCTGATGTTGAAGACTCACCGAGGGTGGTGGTCGAGCTCAAGAAGCACCACAAGGCGTCAAGCAGCCGGAAAGGATAGCACTGCAACCCAACATTTGAAACATGTTGAAGATCTTGGGGTTAAATGATGTTATTAGGTGATGTTAGATATTGGGAGGCCAGAGTATGCTACAGCAGAGCTTTATTTGAACACAGAGCAAAAAGCATTTTTTTTGAAGTATAGTAATCATGTCATATATTGTCATATCATATCCTTGGGTGATAGATATCTGGTTGGAACCATGCAGAAATATCTACAGCACTGCTGTCCAATGGCACAGCGAGCTGATGACATCGATTCTTCACAAAGTAATGATCATTGTCGATGTTTCTGTGGCAATTATTATCGTTTGGGTTTTGTTTTAAATTTTGGAACCCTTAAATATCTTAAGTCTGCTGATTAATAATTATATATAATCATTATATATCATTATAATCAATTAATATTGATGAAACATGATGAAATTAATGAAATTGATGAATCATCATTTTCCATTCATTTTCTCTATTCCGATTGCCATACTTTGCCATTCTTCCAGGTGGCGCCAAGGCGGTGGCCCATACCCTGACACCAGTAACCATCCGAATGCTGCAAGACGGGGCCTGATGCTCGGAAAACAACTCGCTCAACTCGCCAAGCCGCGAAGTGCTGCAGAAAAAAATGTGCAGATTAAGATGATTAAGTAGCAACCTATTCCGATGAAATGTGATGGGATTCATTTGGAGTCCAAAAATTGTTATTTTAGGTGTTCCATGATGTTCCCACTCCTCGAACTCGAAAAAATGGATGCAATATACCTTCCAATTTGTGCCCGTTTCCAAAAGCCCCTTCAGCGGAGAGGTCCAAGAGAAGCGCCAGAATGGCATGAACATGGGGCCTGATGAGTCCATACGCATGAACCTCAGACTCACATTCCACATACATTCCACTTTTGTTTGTTGTCTTGCATCATTTGATCCATTTGCAAGCAGAAAAAAACTGGACCCAATTCACACTAATACTGAGTCCTGATTCTTCCTTGCTGGGAGTGATTTCCCAGGATATCCCCATGAATATCCCATAATATCCCATTAGTCTCATTGAATCCAACAATTAAATGGTTAAAACATGTTAAAACCATGTTAAATCCTACTATAAAGCAAGGCCATTGCTGTGGTGACTGTGTCGTACTGGCTGCCGAGGCGTCAACGGCCGGGAGCTCCACATGTTGACTCTCGTTGCATGTGTTTGGACCTTGGGGAGTGATTTTTCCATGGATCCAAGGATTGGATGATTGGAAGATGTTGGAAGATTATAGTCCCTGAAAATGTCTAACAATGGTTATTAAATACATTATTCCCTGATATTTCCTGTGGAATTCTTGTGAAATCCATCCATTGAATCGAGAGCTTCGAAAAGACGTGCTCAATTCACGCTCTCAAGCGGTTCTTTGGCTGAGGTTGAGGGCATGCAGATGCAGCAGCTTGGGATGATTGTGACTTTGAACGCCAGGCACTTAAAAGTCGAGTCAGTTCTGAAACAAAGAGGAGTGCATTAGATTGCATTAGTATATTGTGAAAATGCTCAAGCGTTTGACCCACAACAGCATACCTAGTAACAAACCAGTTCAGTACAATGATTCATGGATTAAATCATCGTCAGCAGAAACTGAAACTTCCATGCGATCCCGACAGCTGGCACATGCTTAGGATGGGACTGGCAGGATGGAGTGTCAGATGTATGCAGACAGTGATGCCGCAGCTGGTCTGCAATTACAAAAAGCTAGTTGATGAGTTGATGTCAAGGCTAAAAAAACCTCATGTCTTGAAAGCACTTTCCGATGAGTTGCAGTGGCATGAGTCTCCCTGGTATATTGTGAAATATTGTGAAGGTCTCCAACGGTCCAGATTTTCAAGTGGGTGACTACATCCGTGCCGCGCTTACATTGACTGTTAGGAAACCATATGATAAGATATCATAAGGTTGTGATGGGTGGTCCAGTCCAAGCATTGAGGTGTCTATGGACATCTTCGAAATTGGAATGACGAGGCAGCAGATGTGCTGTTTTTGAGGCGGTTATTGCTGCTGTAGATGTCGTAGCTGTTTGCTGCTGACTCCTTGCAGAAGCCTGACTCAGTCTGCAGATCAAACATCCAGTTCCAGTGCCAGATGGGCTATGATGAACAGAATATAGACATATATAGACTATGACTATAAACAGGTTTGGACAGATTTTGAACGTTGTCAATTAATGTCAATTATACATAATTATACAATGTACAGTAGATATCAGAAAGCTACCACAAGTCATACTTTCATGTTTTTTCGTTCACCAACACAAGGCAGGCAGTTTTTCGCACGTTGGTAAGTTGGGGCCCCTTCGCTGTGACACCAGGACCGCATCACCGCCCACCGCATTAGCAAGATTGAGAATCCCAACGAGATCGCGCACCACACCATTGAGGCCTCCATGGCTTCCAATGCTGTTGCGACCCTCAGAAAAAAAGTTCAGAGGTCCAGCGGCTAGCGCCACGCGATTCAGACTTCAGAATTTCATTAAAAGAATCATGATTCAAATTTCTGTGGCAAGGCTGGAGGTCATGGTTTCAACATGTTTCAACTTTTCAACTGAAGTTGCTCCTGGAACCTGGCAGGTTGCGCATGTCCACCTGAGTCTCACTGGCAGATTGGTAAAGGCGGTAAAGGCTTCGCCTGGAGGCGCTGGGGGATGCGGCCATGGAATCCCACCAGGATCCACCAGTGCCAAGAAGTGCCAGTTGGATTCAGAGCTTATTGGGGCGAATGGGTTAATGTATCAAGCTTTTAACGAGAAATATATATATATATATTTCTTGGTATTTCTTGGTGAACAAGAACTTTTCAAATATTTCCATTGTAAGGTGCACTTTGGAAGTTGTTCTTTCAACTTTTGATATGATGTTGTCAATTCTGGATTCACATCTACCTTGCTTGAGCAAACATCCATTATATTTACTGCATGTTATTTAAATATTTTATCAAATATGCTGTAAAAAATCCTTGGCTGAGCACCCACGAGAAACAGAAGACCACAGACGAGAGACACAACTTTCACCCCTGGGGCCACCGTAGCTGAAAAAATAAAGTGGTTCGCGCTCTCTTTTACCCGCAAATTTTACACGGTGATCTACTGTTTCGCTTCCCAACTGCTTGATGCAGCTGGTATGATGATGTGGTTGACATGACTGTGTGAAGACTAACCATGACCATTCGTCCATAACTCGGAAGTATGCTAACTAAACTTCCTTTGATCATATTGTTTCCTATAGGCGTATCTATCCCATTATATGAGCCGCCGTCAAAATTATGTATTTTGGATTGTTTTCGCCTTACTCCATAAAAAGGGCATCGCTATGTGGGGGGTGCCCTATCGCTAAACATAGTTTTGCACTTCTGAGGATGATGTGTAAGGAAAGGAAAATAAAAGTAGGAGGAAAGGAAAAGGAAAAGGAAGGGCAGTAGAAAAAGATCTATTTGTGGCCTGTTTTTCAAAACAAATGGGTATCTCTGTGTAAGGTATCGCTAGGGATATCGCTAGTGGTATCGCTAAAGTCGCCTCTTGCATGCATGCCACTTTGTGCAAATCAGCTTCAGATTCGGACACTATTAATACATGTACAACTAAAGGTATCGCTTTTGGGGGCCCTCTCGGTGCACTTTCGAGACCCCAAGGGAGCAGTCCCTTACTGAAGTGATCTACGATAATTTTGACCACACCCACGCTTGACCTATACGTCATATATTTTAGTATATTTTTATACCCATCACATTTCCACGGTTGACAGTACCTGTATAATCATCACATTGCCATTTCAGGGGGCGGAGCTGTTCCCTTCAGCGGCGGTCAAAATTTCGCTGCCGGGCCGCCACCCGCTGGAGCTGGTGGTACCGCGGCGTAATTTCTTTGGGCCGTGGGATGGGCACCAGGGACAGGGAGGACATTGATGTACTACACAATACAGCATATATCGTGATATATCAGATATCATCGAAGGAAGTTTAGAAGTCAAATTTCCGACAATATGGACAGATGAAAAGCAGAGATGGGAAGAGTCAGAGAAGAGAAGAGAAGAAGAAAGAAGATCAAAAAAAGAGCAAGTCTCAGAAGAAAGAAGATCCACCGCGAAAAGGTAGGAAAGTCGCGAAGCACTGTGTTTTTCCAATGATTTGTGGCTCCGGAGGGTCGAAAAATAGGCTCGCTAAAGCGGCGGGTGCGGAGCCAGCTGGCCAGATGAGAGATGAAAAATTGCACGCCGTTGTGGCGCGAAGCACATTTCCAAGCCAAAATGTACAAAGCACACCAATGTCGGACCACTTTTCGAAGTTGCGATGTCGAAAAAGTGCACGCCGTTGTGGCGCGAAGCGCGTTTCCAAGTCAAAATCTACAAAGCACCACATGTGCGCGCCACTTTTGGACGTTGAAGCGTCGCAGGCACAAGGGATTGTGCACCAGGTCAAAAGTGAGCAAAACGTGAGGGTTTTGTGATGGCGTGGGACATTTAAAGAGGATCTTGGAAGAAACAAATGCAGTCCTCAAGTTTGAACAAGTCATATTCTCAAGATCGTTGTTGCTTGTGTCCCGTTTAGTATCCCAAGTCCTCATAACATCCGTATTGTTCGTTGTGCATATCACATATCCCATAATATCCGCATCGTAACCCGGTACATTTCCACTTGGGTAAATCCCATTTAGTACCTAATGAAACAATGAAATATGTTTTTGTGTTATTAAGTCATCATTTTCAGTAAACCCAGTATGTTTCCTAGACATATCCACTATATTTCCATCATATTTCCAGTAGTACCGCACAAGGCGGTGGCGGAAGTTTCAAAAATAGGAAACCTATAGGAGAGATTGGTTGTTGTGAATCAGGGATGGCAGAGCGAAGCCACTGATGGATCGAAAGACGATTGATCTCTCTCACTAATTCTATCTCTTTCTCTGACTATCTACCTACCTACCTACCTATCTATCTATCTCTCTCTCTCTCTATCTATCTATCTATCTATCTATCTTTCTATCTATCTATCTATCTATCTATCTATCTATCTATCTATCTATCTATCTATCAATCATTATCTATCTATCATTATCTATCTATCATTATCTATCTATCATTATCTATCTATCTATCATTATCTATCTATCTATCATTATCTATCTATCTATCATTATCTATCTATCTATCATTATCTATCTATCTATCATTATCTATCTATCTATCTATCATTATCTATCTATCTATCATCTATCTATCTATCTATCTATCTATCATTATCTATCATTATCTATCTATCTATCTATCATTATCTATCTATCTATCATTATCTATCTATCTATCATTATCTATCTATCTATCTATCTATCATTATCTATCTATCATTATCTATCTATCTATCTATCTATCTATCTAAGCCTATCTATCTATCTAATCCTATCTATCTATCTAATCTAATCTAATCTAATCTAATCTAATCTAATCTATCTATCTATCTCATCTACCCAGCTGGCCTCTCTCTCTCTCTCTCTCTTTCTTTCATCTAATTACCTATCTATCTATCTACCTACCTGTCTATCTCTCTTTCCCTTTCATCTGTCTATCTGTCTAGCTGTCTACCTGTCTATCTGTGTTGCAGTGTCATTCAGTGTAATGTAGTGTGACTTCGAAGTGTGCTTCGCGCCACAACGGCGTACACTTTTCCAACATCTGAATCTCCAAAAATGGTCCGAACCCCTAGTGTTTTGGACATTTTGACTTCAAAATGTGCTTCGCGCCACAACGACGTGCGCTTTTTCGACATCTGAACTTCCAAAAGTGGCGCGAACATGTGGTGTTTTGTACATTTTGACTTGGAAATGTGCTTCGCGCCACAACGACGTGCACTTTTTCGACATCTGAACTTCCAAAAGTGGTCCGAACCCCTAGTGTTTTGTACATTTTGACTTCGAAATGTGCTTCGCGCCACAACAGCGTGCACTTTTTCGACATCGCAACTTCCAAAAGTGGTCCGAACCCCTGGTGTTTTGTACATTTTGACTTGGAAATGTGCTTCGCGCCACAACGGCGTGCACTTTTTTGACATCTCAACTTCCAAAAGTGGTCCGAGACCGCCAGTTTTTAGCACTTTTGACTTCAAAATGTGCTTCGCGCCACAACGGCGTGCACTTTTTCAACATCTCGACTTCCAAAAGTGGTCCGAAGCTGGTGTGTTTTGTACATTTTGACTTCGAAATGTGCTTCGCGCCACAACGGCGTGCACTTTTTCGACATCTCAACTTCCAAAAGTGGTCCGAGACCGCCAGTTTTTAACACTTTTGACTTCGAAATGTGCTTTGCGCCACAACGGCGTGCAATTTTTCATCGCTCCTGTGGCCAGCTGGCTCCGCACCCGCCGCTTTAGCGAGCCTACTTTTCGACCCTCCGGAGCCACAAATCATTGGAAAAACACAGTGTTTCGCGACTTCCCTACCTTTTCGCGCATCTGTATCTTCTGTCTTCTTACTCTTTCTCTTCTGATCTTCTCTCTTCTAATCTTCCTCTTCTCTCTGCCTCTGCCCTGCTCTGCTTTTCATCTCTCCATATTGTCGGAAGTTTGACTTCTAAACTTCCTTCGACTATAGATTTCTTACACAGTCACCATATTGCCATCTCAGGGGGTGGCGCTTTGCCCTTCAGCGGTGGTCAGAATTTCGCTGGTGGGCCGCCGGCCGGTGGAGCTTGTGGTACCGTGGCGGAAATTCTTTGGGCCATGGGATGGGCACTGGGGACAGGGAGGACATTGATGTGGGTATTATTTTTCATTTACATTAAGCTTATACAATATAATTTAATATCATATAATATCACATAATATGAGACAATGTAATGTAATGTAATGTGTTGAAGAATGTTGAAGATGTATATGATTGTATATATATATATTTATACACGTATAATATTGTGTATATATATATATATGTTACATACTGTAATATGTGGCTCCCCCTTGTTACTAACCAACTATTTTTTATTTTTTTGACAGGTATTTGCAGTGTCTTGAAAAAACTGTTGGTGTTTGAGTTTCGGGTTTATTTTCGGGGGTAGCTTAAATAAATAAATAAAAATATATATATATGCATGCTATATATATATACACACGTAAATATGTATATATATATATATTTTTTTACTGACTGTAAATATACGTGATCATATATTCATATTCACTTCCCCCCAACAAACCTATATACCTTTGCGAGTTTCTTAAAAGGGTATGTGGTTTGAATTGCGAAGGGCGTTACCGATATTTTTTGAAGAAACGAATGCAATCTTCAAGTTTGAACAAGTGATGTTCCTGAGTCTGAACACGTGATACTGGCAAGTCTGAATATTTTGTGGCCCGCCTTCCCTTCTATTGTAGATGATCTACATCACTTCAGGATTGTTGTTGCTTGTGTATCCCAGTAGTAACTATTAGTATCTCATTAAGTCCTCACAATGTTTCCATAAATCACCATGAAGTGAGAATAATCAAACCCCATGGACATATCCCAGCATAGCCGCATCGTATCGCGGTAAATCACTTGGTTTGCCGAAACCATGATTCTTGTCAGTTAATTTATCAATTTCAGATTAAGCCCAACATCACATTGTTTCCTAGATACATCCCATCGGTATATACTCATGATATTCCCATGG